GGCTGGAAGCAGGCACCAAACCGCTGAACCACCCAGAGATCCCCAAGCTCTGTCCTTTGAAACAGGGGTGTTTATAGGTGCCCAGGGTTCTCCTAATTTCAGATATCTTGTGGTTAAGGTGAAATCCATTTCCAAGTGGCTCCTTGCTGCCACTCCTTTTAGTTATGTCAGTTTTGTCTTGCTCCATGGGCATCCCTTTCAGTGAGAGACACTGACTGCATAGGCTGCCCAAGCAGCTGAAATCAGTAGGTTGGTCTCTTAATTGGCCTGGATTAAGTTGATTTCATTTCACATAATTTATCCTCATGAAATAAGGTTTATATCCTCACCATGGCCACCAGTGGGCAGGAGGAGAGAGGAGAGCTTTGGTATGTTGCAAGAACTCTTGCCTGATATGAGTGAGTGATGGTTCCTCCCTTTCCATTGTAATTCTTTCCCCACTGGTAGCCGTCCTATCCCAGCATTCACAGGACACTCCTTAAGCCTTCTCATTTCTGGTTCAACCTGAAAAAGCTGCTCTGTAGCTGTGTACAGTCCCTGTCCACCTTGGGCCTCTAAGTGACTGGTGTATCCCCTCCCTCCAGCAGAGTGTTCTATGGGATGATGGAGAGCAGTGCCTCTCTAACCTTAAGTGTGCATCAGTGTCATCTGAGAAGCTTGTTGCAGGTCCAGATTGTGAGATCACATTAGGAGAATACTGGTGTAAGGGTCAGAATGGGGCTGTCATCCTGGCTCTTCCTATTTACCCCATGACCTTGGCCAAAGCGGATGACCTTACCCATGGAGTGGGGACTGCAGTAACTACTTAGGTTATTGTAATGATTAAAGGTGAATGCAAATATGCATGTAAAAGTAGCCTGTGAACTCTAAAAAGAGTAGGGGTGCCTGAGTGGCTCAGTCAGTTGGGTGTCTGCCTTTGTTTGGCTCAGGTCATGATCTCAAGGTCTTGAGATTGAGCCCCTCATGGGGCTCTCTACTCAGCAGGGAGTCTGCTTCTTTTTCTCACTTTCCCTCTGTGCTCTTTCTCTCATAAATAAATAAATAAATAAATAAATAAATAAATAAATAAATAAATAAATAAATAAATTCGTAAAAAAAAAAACCCTCTAAAGAGTAACTGCAAAATATTACTATTTGTTGTCAGAAGCCCTGTTCCCTTCTGGATCAACAAAACATGAAGATCCTGGCTCAAAAGGCTGGGGCTACAGACTGTCCCTGCTTCATTACTTTCTTTACCTTAGGGCAAGAGACATTGGTCTTTAGTCTGAGCAGTAAGCAGGAGAGGTCACTACTTGAGATCTATAAACACAGTGTGTATTTGCTAATCGAGAATGCATAAAGGAGAGGGATCCAGAAGTCTCAGTGTGGTAAATTCCCTTTTTTGATCTCAGAGTTTTGGAAATTCTCATAAAAGCAATGCAGCTTACTGGGAGGCATGTAATGAAGTGATTAAGGGAAGAGGCTCTGGGATCAATCTGCCTGGGTGTGAATGCTGGCTTCAACCCTTAGTACCTGTGTGACCTGTCAACAGACTTCACCTCTCTGTGCCTCAATCTCTTTAAGTGTAAAGTGGTGACAGTAATAGCAATGTCACCTCCCAGGGTTGTTGAGAGCTTTCAAGGATGTAGCATCAGAAAAGCACTTAGAAAAGTATTTGAAGGGCACCTGGTAAGTACATACTCAGTAAATGATGGTTGTGTTGTTATAAAACTTTTGCCATATACCAGTCCTGTGCTAAGCTGTTTACATGGAGTCCCATTTTATGGATGAGGAAACTGAGGTCCAGAGACCTTAATCAACTTGCTCAAAGTTGTGGAGTTGGTGGTAGAACTAGGACTTGAAGTCCAGTCTCTCCGACTCCAGAATCTATGCTCTTTACTATAGTGTTCCACTGTATCTGGTATACCAAATGGATGTTTCTCTTCTTTTCTTCAAAAGAAAGCCATGAAAAATTGGTAAGGTGGCTGAGGCAAGGGAAGTGAGGTATTAAGTAGTGGGATTTTGGTTAACCTCTCAGGAATACCCTATGAGCCCATTCACATGTATCCCCAAAACCGGATGACTTGCCTACCAAGGGTAGGGAACACTTTGGGGGGAGATCTCTTCCTTCATTGAATTGCTTTAAAAAGGCCCAAGTCCGCGGAGGCTGAAGAATGAGCATGACTGAGAAATAGCTTTCAAGGCCAAGAGCATAGCTGAATACTCTAACTTAACGCTTTCCAAAGTGAAGACTGTGCGTGCCACCTGCACTCATCCAGTTCCTTTCTTTACTCTTTTTATTCAAAAGGGCTAAAAGCTGTCCTTTCTGATCACAGCCAAGACTTGCGTGAAAACGCAGAATTTCACCTCTGGGAATCCCAGAGGAGGCAGCAGTTGTACCGAGAGCTGGCTTTTCAGGGCATTACGTGTCTGTTTACCATAAGAAGGCCCAGGCCCAGGGTTTGCCTGATGTGGCTGCCTGACCTTCATGTGTTTCTCTGACACGCAGGAAGTCGGGACTCTTCAGCCGCCTGCAACTAACTCATGCCCACCCGATGGAATGCTTTGTTCCTGAGATCTGCTAGGGGAAATCAGGACTTCTTTTATCATGCAGCCAAGGGCGGGGGTGGGGCCCTACAAGAAAAAATCAACCTAAAACTGAAGGCTCCTTCCACCTTCAGTATTCTTTTTAACTTGCACGCAGCACCACAATACTGCTATTCTAACTCTCCTAATCCTGGTGCTCCGGTTCTTAAAATCAAGGCGTTTGGGGAAAATTTAACCCCTGCATCTGCAGCCATCCACACCCCCAGCCTGCATTGATTGAGCATCTTCGGTGTGCCAGGACCCGAGGTTAGCATCGTCCACATTTATCTTCTTGTCCGGTCCTTGTGGCTTTTCACAAATGAGGAAGCGGAGACTCAGGGAGCTAAGCGATTTGTACGGGGTCACGCCGCTGGTCGGTGGCACTCAGTCTGTCTGCTCCAGGTCCAGTGCTTTTTCCTCTCCTGCTCCCCAAGCCCCCAATTCTTCCTCTCTGGTGCTGTCACCCTCCTTACCGTATGTTTCACGCTGGTGTAGCTCCTGCTCCCTGCTGTTTTCTCAACCATGGACATCTGGGGCTGGAGCATTTCTTTGTTGGTGGGGGGGCCTGCCCTGTACAGTGTAGGATATCTGGCAGTGTCCCTGGCTTCTACCCATTAGACGCCAGAAGTACCGCCAGTCTCCACAACCAGAAAGGTCTCCACACATTTGTCAAATACCGTCCTGGGGGAGAAACCATCTCTCTTTGAGAATCACTGAGTTAGTCTTATCTTTCCTCTTCACCATTCCTCCCTGTGAAGGGGATCTGCATGTTGGGAAGCCCACTGAATGGAGTCCTTTGGAATCCTTAGTCTTTGCTGTTTCATCCAGCCAGAGTTCCTTAAAGTAGTGCCTAGAGTTGTGATGAGCTGGTCACAATACAAAAGTTGCTCAGGGTCTGTGTGAAAAAAGCCCCTTCCCTCAGTGCTCTCAGAATTGACCCAAGAGTCTGGGGCTGGGGCTGGGGCTGGGGCTGGGGCAGCGGCAGCCGGGTCTTCAGTGCTTCCCTGGTGGAGAATATTCTGTCCTGCACTTGCAGAGAGACCTGGACAGACAGGAGCCCTGGGCTTGGAGTAAAGCCTTCCTCTTAAAGTATAGAGATGCTTCACCTCTCAAAAGGATTCCTTTGGTGTCCACAGGAGATCCAGCATCTTTTCTAGGGCAGCTGATTCCCTTAGCTTGTGGAATGGGGAATGAGAGGTCCCTGTTGAGGATCTGGTGACATCTGTGGTCCTTTACTCCAGAAATGTACATTTTGCCCATAGTTTTAGTAGTTCACTGATCTTAAATGCTGGCCATCCATCCATCCATCCATCCATCCATCCATCTATCCATGCCCTATGCTCACACTTACCTTTGGGGGTTAGAGTGGAGAGGGACAGGCTCCAGCCCTCTCTCCTGGTTTTTGGAGCAGAGAGCAGTACACCCTTTCATTCTGGGCCCTAATTCCTTCCCTGTTCCAGCCCAGCCTGAGGGCAGGGCCCAGCTAAGGGGAGGAAGGGGAGAAGAAAGCAAGGGGTAGAGATGAGCAATGAGTGGTGGTCCCCTTCTTTCCCAGCTGCAGCAGCCCAGCGGGTTAGATGACTGCAACGAGGGGGAGAGACTGACCCTTTGTTCCAGCTGAGGCTGGAGCAGGGGCACTGAGCCATTCACACGCCATCCCAGGGCATCCTGCTGGGCACGCTGGGGAGGGGGGCACAGCAGCCGGTCATGGGACTTGGCCAGGCAGATAGCTCCTTGCTCAATAGGGAAGCCCAGCTGCTTGCTGCTGAGGCTGGGGGAGGGGCTGCTCCTGCCATCCTTCTCTGGGCTGTAGTCTGTCCCACAGGCAGGAAGCTTCTGACTGCTCCCAGTCACTCTGCCCTGAGGCAGCCTAGTCCCCTCAGCCTGGGGCCCTGCTTCTCCTGGTCACCCTCCTCAAAGGTGGGTTCTGACCGGGAGACTCACAACAGCCTGTGCTGCTTCCCGCTCTCCTGTCTGGATTCCTTATCCCAAAAGGGGCTCCAGCATTTTAATTCCACTATTTCTTGCCCTCCCTACCTAACAACCAAGGGCCTCATTGTGGCTAGAGGCAAAAGCATCCATATCTCAAGCTGCTTTGGAGGGAAGGGTATTGAGTTTCTCTCTGCATCACCCTTTCTGTCCCATTACTCCTTTTCCCCAAGAGCATCAACTCTTTGAGTAGCATCACTTATCTCTGGTCTCTTGGAGGTATGGACCAAAAAGCCCAGTCCTAGAGCAAGTACCTACTGCTTATGAATCCAGAGTTACAGATTATCTTCTTGACCATTTGTGCCTTGGGAGAAGGGGAAGGCATGATTGCATGGTCTCCCGGGTGACAATGTGCCCCTAGTCTAGGCTCCTCTACTTTACTGTCTGGAATGGGCTTTGGTTGGGTAGGAGCTGGGCTCTCACTGCTTCCTTTCCCCTCTGCCCAGGCCTAGCCAGCAGCCCTGAGTGTGCTTGTGGTCGGAGCCACTTCACGTGTGCAGTGAGCGCCCTCGGCGAGTGTACCTGCATCCCTGCACAGTGGCAGTGTGATGGGGACAATGACTGCGGGGACCACAGCGATGAGGATGGATGTAGTAAGTCCCCTCCTCCCCTCCTACACACTTCTGGCAGTGGGACCCGGGGATGAGGGTCTGAGGGTGTCCTGTGCACTGGCTGAGCCAGACTCAGCGCATTGGACTCCTGTGAGGGTGATAGATGCTGACTGATGGGTGGTTTCTTCACAATATATATGGCTCCAATCCTCCTGTATTTCCTCTATTTTCATGCAGATATGACCAATTAAGACAAACTGTGACAAGTATGAAGGAAAACACCCTTGAAAACTATAGGCATTCTCTTTACATAGATCTCTCTGTATTTATGTGAATATATGTTTGTATATCTGTCCTGCATATTTGTGCATTTTTTAATGTGCATACTATATGTAGATGCAGATTATTTCTGTGTTTTTAATGCTGGTATTCTGTGTAATCATATCTTTTTTTAATAATATAAACTTTGTAAGAAATCTTATATTCTCTTTAAATCTTGTTTTCCCCTAATATACGCACAACAGGCCAGGGCACCCTGCCTCCGATCTATAGACCGGTCACTGCTGAGCCAGTTGTCTGGGTTTAGGGGTGCAACCTGTATAGCACCTATGTCTGAGGGTGGCTAATTAGTCTAATAAGATGAAGCTACAACCTGGACCTTGTTAACCCTGACCGGTTCAGCTAATCGTGATGATAAATGGCTCACTTTCATGTGCATTATCTCTAAAGACCACTGTGAGCCAAGTATAATTACTCCCATTGTACAGTCAGAGAACCTATGGCTCAGAGATGGTAACTGACTTGCTCAGTGTGATAAGTAATGAATTCTAGAACTGGAAATGGAACCCAGATGTGTTCATCATAATTTAACAGGAGAAAAAGAAAAAAATAGTACACCTCTTTTTCTTGCTCATGTTTCTATCTCTGCTTTCTTTAGTAGTTTTGGGTTCCTTAGGCTGTGCTGCCCTGTGGGCAGGCATGGGAGCCTGCGAGGGAGGACTGTAGTTCACATGGGGAGACGTGGGATAAAAGGTGTTGGCAAAGGGTTTCCAGCCCCGGTAAGGCTGTCTCAGTAAGTGTACCAGACTGATTCCCCGTTGCCTTCTTCTTCCGGGACCTAGTGCTGCCCACCTGTTCTCCTCTTGACTTTCACTGTGACAATGGCAAGTGCATCCGCCGCTCCTGGGTGTGTGATGGCGACAACGACTGTGAGGATGACTCAGATGAGCAGGACTGTCGTGAGTGCTGGTGGCGCCAGGCGGGCTCCATCAGGCTCTGCTGGGAAGGGATTTTCAATCAGAAAATGATGCCCCAGGCCCACGTCAACTCTAGGGTCTTCAGCTCTTTGTCCCTCCTTTCACCTCCCCTCTTGGTTAGATGAACCCAAGAGATGGCCCCCTGCTTCAGATTCCTCCGGGCAGTGTTGGAGTAGCCCGACTTCCCTGTTCCATGGGGCTTTCTGTTGGGCCTGCAGCAGCCTGACTGCTCTGTGCCCACAGCCCCCCGGGAGTGTGAGGAGGATGAGTTCCCCTGCCAGAATGGCTACTGCATCCGGAGCCTGTGGCACTGCGACGGGGACAATGACTGCGGTGACAACAGTGATGAGCAGTGTGGTGAGTGGAGCTCTGGAGGTGGGGGGGGGGCGGAATGGCTACTGGTGCCCTGGCCTCAGGGAGAATGGGCAGCAGCAGCTCTAGCACAGCTGCACTGTGAACTGCCTGGATAGAGAGCAGCTGGAGGAAGGCCGAGGGGCAGGGCAGTGCAGACCTCAGGGAACCACGGGACAGGAGTCCCAGGCCCAGTCTTTCCAGGGCTCCAGTGACCCCCTCCACAGTCTGCACCAGGTCTGTGATGTCTGGCAGGGACTGGGTCAGACCCACAAGGGCAGGGAGGGTGGGCGTTGGGCACGATGAAAGGAGGGTGGCCTGTGGGGCTCCTGCAGGATCGCTGTCCCATTGCGTCCCCCAGACATGCGCAAGTGCTCTGACAAGGAATTCCGCTGCAGTGACGGAAGCTGCATCGCCGAGCACTGGTACTGTGACGGCGACACCGACTGCAAAGATGGCTCTGACGAGGAGAGCTGTCGTGAGTGGCCCCAGAACCCAGGCTGGTGGGCTGGGCTGGGGCAGAGGGCTGCATCCCAGGGGCCAAGGGCCAGGCTGCAGGGTGCATACACAGTGGGCCAGGAGGGTGGGAAACTGCACCTCTGAGGTTGAGCTAGGGTGCAAGCACGTTCCCCAGGTGCAGAGGGCTGTTCCCCAGGTGTGGAGGGGCAGCTCATTTTGGTCCACCAGCACCAGTCCATCAGGGTCGACCTCAATGAAACCTGCTTTCCTTGCCTGAACATCCTACCCGTTGGTGGAGTCAGGGCCTCTTCTCTGTCCAAGCCTGAGTATATGCCCCTCTCTACCCCTGTCTGCCTTCCAGCCTCAGCAGTGCCAGCGCCTCCCTGCAACCTGGAGGAGTTCCAGTGTGCCTACGGCCGCTGCATCCTCGATATCTACCACTGTGATGGTGATGATGACTGCGGAGACTGGTCAGACGAGTCTGACTGCTGTGAGTGGTCTGGCCAGCAGGGTGGAGGAGGAGGGAGGGAGGCCAGGCCCCAAGGAACTCCTAGGGTGGTAAGGCACAGGTGCCAGCTGGGGCAGGAGCTCAGGGGAGGAGTTTCCAGATTCCCTGCTCCCTGTTGGGCAGAGATGGAGGAACCGGATACTGGGGCTGGACTTTTGGGTCTGCCCTGGACACTGTGTCCAGGGACTGGCTCAAGACAGGAGCCTGCCTGTTTCCCCAGCGTCCCACCAGCCCTGCCGCTCGGGGGAGTTCATGTGTGACAGTGGCCTGTGCATCAATGCAGGCTGGCGCTGTGATGGCGACGCGGACTGTGATGACCAATCTGATGAGCGCAATTGCAGTGAGTGGAGACAATGCCAAAGGGCTGGGCCGGAAATAGGGAGGGCTTGTAGAGCCAAAAAAGGCCACCATTGATAAAGACAGATGGGACAGGACTATTGTGGACAGTGGTGTAGGTTGGGCAGGACATAGAGGTGGTACGTCTAAAGGGATTCCAGTCATATAGTGGACCTACATATTCTATAATCATACAGATTTGTGTATTTGTTGTGGCAGTTTTCTCAAGGATGGCAGGAAGGCGTCTTGAGGAAAGGCTGCCTTTTTCTGATTTTCACAATGATGCCATTTGGAACAACTGTGACCAGGAGAGTGGCACAGAGGCTGGCATGAAATGCAGTTTGGGGCAGCAGGGTGGAACCTCGGGCCAAAACAGGGCCAGCCTTTCATTTGGCCTCTTTGCTTTGCCCAGCCACCTCCATGTGTACAGCAGAACAGTTCCGCTGTCGGTCAGGTCGCTGCGTCCGCCTGTCCTGGCGCTGTGATGGGGAGGATGACTGTGCAGACAACAGTGATGAAGAGAACTGTGAGAACACAGGTAGAGCCTCCCGGGGGTACCCCAGGCCCCTGAGCCCGTGGTTGGGTTGGAGGACAGGAATGGAAAGAGGATGTCACTGCTGCCATTACAGCTGGGCTACAGGGATGCTTAGCCAGATCTTGCCCACGGCCTGGATTATTCCTGCCCTTCTCAGTTACCAGTGTCAAATCCAGGTGCATCTGTTAACCTGCACAGCCTTACAGCCTGGAACACAACATCAGCAGCCTCTCACGTTCTGACTCCTACGCAGACAGCCTGCCTGTTGCTCTGGCCTAATGAGCGAGGACTGTTCTCTGTGTGGCTGACAGCCCTCACTGCCCTAGCCATGCAGCTGGGCACAGGACACACAGATGCACTCTCTCATTCTGTCCCACGTCCCTCACTATCCCACTGTGGTGTCCTGGGGAGCAAACGAGCACAGACATTCAGCCAGCCCTGTCTGAGCTGCTTCCTGCCCAGGACCCTGACCCTCCCACCTTGAGTCTCATCTGTCTCCAGCTCACCCTAGAAAATGACAGGCTCCCATCCTTTCGTTGACCCAAGCCCTGCTCTGCTGTGACCTGCCTCTCCCTCCCTCCTTGCTTGCCTCCCACCCTGTCCAGGAAGCCCCCAGTGTGCCTCGGATCAGTTCCTGTGCTGGAACGGGCGTTGCATTGGGCAGAGGAAGCTGTGCAATGGAGTTAACGACTGTGGAGACAACAGTGACGAAAGCCCACAGCAGAACTGCCGTGAGTGTCCCCAGTGGGCGGGCCTGACCCATGGTCTGTGGCTGAACCCCACCCATGTGGTTCAAAGAGAAGCCTCCCTGGGGATTCTCACAGCCTCCAGAGCTGTTCTTCGGGGTCCAGGTGGAATGCCAACTTGGCTGTCTGGGGGAGGATTCTGGGCTCAACTCCCATCTCTGGCTTGGCTGGCACAGGGCCCCGGACGGGTGAGGAGAACTGCAATGTTAACAACGGTGGCTGCGCCCAGAAGTGCCAGATGGTGCGGGGGGCGGTGCAGTGTACCTGCCACACAGGCTATCGTCTCACCGAGGATGGACACATGTGCCAAGGTGAGCTCGGGCCTGCTTTGGAGTTGGGCAGGGGCAGCAGACAGGCAGCTATGTTTCCTCTGGGTCAGACATTGATCTCATGTCATCATCACCATAAGAGGTGGGGATTGTCCCTTCTGTTTCACAGAGGGGGAAACCGAAGCCCAGAGAGGTTAAGTAACTTACTGATGGCCACAGAGCTGGTGAGAGCAGAGTTGGGATTCTAGCCTGGGTCTCCATGACCTTGAAGCTCTTAACCACTTGTTACATAGTTTTCCCACTAGGCCTAGAGAAAAGATGGGTGTGTTGGCCGGGATACAACTAGTCAGCCTGGAAGTTGGGGCGGGGAGGATGGCAGAACCGAGATCTCCTGACCCTACCCGGTCCTCCCAGATGTGAATGAATGTGCGGAAGAGGGGTACTGCAGCCAGGGGTGCACCAACAGCGAAGGGGCCTTCCAGTGCTGGTGTGAAGCAGGCTACGAGCTCCGGCCCGACCGGCGCAGCTGCAAGGCTCTGGGTAAGGGTCGTTCGTGTTCGGCTGGGTGGGCAGAGGGCTGAGAATGGAGAGTACTTGTGGATTTGCTGAGAGGTAGGGAGAGTTTTCATCTCAGTAAAATAGAGCTGTGAGTTGCATTCTGGGCCCCAAGAAAAACTGCTGGGGTGGGGTGGGTGGGAGAGTATACTTTGGAGGCTGCCACTTTTCCAATACTGATGCCAGCAGCTCTGGACATGCCCTAATGGGCAAGGGGCCCCATTTGTCAGCTGAGGAGCTTGGGGTGCATGCTGATGGATGTCAGGGGCAGCTCTGGAGCCCAGTGGGGGCCCCATTTCTGTGCCACATCCCAGGGCCGGAGCCTGTGCTACTATTCGCCAATCGCATCGACATCCGGCAGGTGCTGCCGCACCGCTCTGAGTACACGTTGTTGCTCAACAACCTGGAGAATGCCATTGCCCTGGATTTTCACCACCGGCGCGAGCTTGTCTTCTGGTCAGACGTCACCCTGGACCGGATCCTCCGTGCCAACCTCAATGGCAGCAATGTGGAGGAGGTTGTGTCTACAGGGCTCGAGAGCCCAGGTAGGGAATGAGGCCCTGGTTGGGGGAAGGGTAGGCCCACATCATGTGCAAAGCAACCATGGAAGGAACGGGATAGTGACTTGCCAACCTTGGGCAGCAGAACATCTTTTTCTTCAGTGAAATCTTGGTTGGAATTCTAATAGAGAAAACATTAATTTGATGGGTTCAGGTTTATGACATCTGGTCATTATTAGGCTCAATAATAATGAGATATTTTAATGAACGTGATCATTTGAAATCAGAGATGTATGGACAACAGTTACAATTTGCTGCAAGTTTTAGCATTTGGTTCAGTTCAGAACTTTGTTTTGATTGCTCAGTATTAAGAATATTCTCCTTGGGATCCCTGGGTGGTGCAGCGGTTTGGCACCTGCCTTTGGCCCAGGGCGCGATCCTGGAGACCCGGGATCGAGTCCCACGTCAGGCTCCCGGTGCATGGACCCTGCTTCTCCCTCTGCCTATGTCTCTGCCTCTCTCTCTGTCTCTCTGTGTGTGTGACTATCATAAATACATAAAAAAAAAAAAAGAATATTCTCCTCTACCCAGATAGATACATCCACATATTTACAGATTGAAAAAAAAAACAAGAGCTCATTCTGTAATCTCAGGCCATTCTACAAACCAGTGAAGTGGGTTGGGATTTGGTTTCAAGCACGTTTGACTCACATGCTAATGGAATTTCTGAAGTACCTTTACAAAACTCTAAGCTACAGTTTGCAAACCCGAGCCAGGGTGGCAGGGAACCCTAGTGTGAGTCAGGAAGTCAGGTTTCAGGAAGTGGAATATCGTTGGCTGAGTGAAGCCTTGACGTTGGACAGTTACTCGACTTCTCTGTGTTTCAATGTCTTTATCTTCATGGAGATCCTAGTATCTAGCTCACAGAGTTGTTGTGATGATTAAGTGAGTTAGTATACCTAACATGGTTAGAACGGCACCTGACCCAAATGTTTGTGTAAGATTTTGCTCTTGTTAAATTGGCACAGAGGAGCCCTGGGTGAATCCCTGACACTTTCCTGTTGCATCTTTCTATCAGGGGGCCTGGCTGTGGATTGGGTCCATGACAAACTCTATTGGACCGACTCAGGGACATCAAGAATTGAGGTGGCCAACCTGGATGGGGCCCATCGGAAGGTGCTGCTATGGCAAAACCTTGAGAAGCCCCGGGCTATTGCCTTGCACCCCATGGAGGGGTAAGTGAGTTGGATCTCAAGCTCCCAAACCCCTCTTGCAACCTCTAAGGACAGTTCCCAGGCCAGACCTTCTTGGGGGGCCTCTTCACAGTGTGGCATTAATAGTATGGGCTTTGCACTCAGACACACCTGGATTTAAGTCCTGGCTCTGCAGTAATTGGCTGTGTGGCCTTGGGTCAGTCTGTATCTGCCTCTGTTCACTCACATATAATTGGTGATAAAAAATAAATACCTACCTCATAGCCATGTGAAGATGAGACTCATTTTTGAAAATGGAGGTATAATTGACATATAATCTTATTTAGTTACAGATGTACAACATGATTCAATATTTATGTATATTGCAAAATGATTACAATAAGTCTTGTTAACATCCATCAGCATACAATTATTACAATAATTTTTCTTGTGATGAGAACTTTTAAAATCTACTCTCATAGCAACTTTCAAATAATGCAATACAGTGTGATTAACTGTTGTCACCATGCCATACATTACATCTCTATGACTCATATATCTAGAAGTTTGTACCTTTTGACCTCCTTCACACATTTCACCCACCCAAAATGAGATGCATTTTATTTTATTTTATTATTTTTTTTAAAGATTTATTTATTTATTCATTCAGAGAGAGCGAAGACAGGGGCAGAGACACAGGCAGAGGGAGAAGCAGGCTCCATGCAGGAAGCCCGATGTGGGACTCGATCCTGGGTTTCCAGGATCACACCCTGGACTGCAGGCGGCACTAAACCACTGTGCCACCGGGGCTGCCCAATGAGATGCATTTTAAATGGCATAATAAAAGGTGCCTGGGTGGCTCAGTCAGTTAAGCATCTGCCTTTGGCTCAGGTCATAATTCCAGGGTCTTGGGATTGAGCCCCATATCTGGCTCCTTGCTCGGCAGGAAGTCTGCTTCTCCCTTTCCCTCTGCCTCCGGCTTATATCTCTCTCTCTTTCACTATCTCTTTATCTCAGACAAACAAACAAACAAATAATCCATTTTAAATAAATAAATAAATGGCATAATACACATTAAATCAGTGCAGATGCTTAGTATTTTTATTATTTGTAGGGTTGAACTAATGAATAAAAATTAATAATAATTTTTACTATTAGAAAACAAAGTCTGCCACAAGGGTTGGGATTTTTGTCTATTTCATTCACTGCTATACTCCTAATCCCTAAGAGAGAGCCCTGCAGGTACTCTTTAAAAAAAAAAAATTGTTCAAAAAATAAATGCCCTGCTAGAGATGTTTAAATTCAAACATTTAGAAGATACTCTGTGGACTACACAGAATGTGTCTTCTATAAGTTGGAGTCCCCTGGGTTAAATGAATGAAAGACCCCAGTCTGATTATTATCCCTGTTATTATCTGGCTTCTGCTGCCTGTCTCTAAATTTCCTCTTGTCCCTTTCTAGTACCATTTACTGGACAGACTGGGGCAATACCCCCCGCATTGAGGCCTCCAGCATGGATGGCTCTGGACGCCGTATCATCGCTGACACTCATCTCTTCTGGCCCAATGGCCTCACCATTGACTATGCTGGGCATCGTATGTACTGGGTAGATGCTAAGCACCATGTCATCGAGAGGGCCAATCTGGATGGAAGTCACCGCAAGGCTGTCATTAGCCAGGGTGAGGCCCTTTCTCTACTCTTCTTCATCTCTCATCCTTCTTTCCCAATCCCAGCCCCTAGGAGCCTTGGCAGAGGGTGAGATTTGTGCAGTTGCCCAGCCTGGGCCCAGAGCCCATGGCAGACTGTGTCTGGACTTAAGTCCTTCTGGACTTTCCCTAGGCCTCCCCCATCCCTTTGCCATCACTGTGTTTGAAGACAGCCTATACTGGACAGACTGGCACACCAAGAGCATCAATAGTGCTAACAAATTTACCGGCAAGAACCAGGAGATCATTCGCAACAAACTCCATTTCCCTATGGACATCCACACCTTGCACCCCCAGCGCCAGCCTGCAGGTGAGAAACTACCCACCTGGTAAACTTTTGGTGCCTCTGAGAACCTTCCCTGCACCTGTCACAGCTGCCATTGTTTCTGGCAGGGAAATTTGTGGTTGGCACTGTTAACGGTCCAATTTCTCCCTCTGCTGGACATTTAGGGTACAACATCGAGACTCAGGAAAACGTGCTTCACTGTCCCCATCTCATTCATCTCTTCTGTCAGGTGTTCACTGTGTTTGCAGCTGGGGCAGATATAAAAAAACAATCGGACATAGCTCCTCAGTTCCAGAGAGCTCGCACCCTAGCTAATCCCCTACTCACTTGCCTTGGGATGGACTCTGCCAACATTTGGTCTTTCCTGACCCTTTTGCCCTGGGCTCTTTGAACAGGGAAGAACCGCTGTGGGAACAACAATGGAGGCTGTACCCACCTGTGTCTGCCCAGTGGCCAGAACTATACCTGTGCCTGCCCCACTGGCTTCCGCAAGATCAGCAGCCACGCCTGTGCTCAGAGTAAGTGGGTCTGGGGCACCTGCCTCAATGGACGTGCCTTGTGATGGTGGGTGGAAGGAACAAGAGATAGGAATTCAAGGGATTGTCTGTCATGGGGAAAGAGCCAGACTCCTCAGATAGCCCCTCAAGAGGAAGAACTTAAGAGGCTGGTGGCTCCTACATCAAAGCTGAGGCCTGAGGGCTCAGGGGTACCACCCAGTCGAGTGTGAATACCTACAACCAGGCTGGTGTACCATTTCGCCAGGCAGGATCTATAGGCAGCTAGAGGGTGCCAGGCCCTTCTAGAAAGCAGGGGTTTCTATCTCTTTACCTTTAGCCTCACCTTTTTAAAGACTTCCTTTCACCTCTTAAATCAGAGAGCCAAGATTAGGACCTCTGGTGATGCTCTGTATTTATGGTGACCCTGGATGAATATGTGTCTAGTGAGTGGGAGATAATGGGGTTCCCTGGTCGCTCCTGAACTGCTATTTTGGCTTCCTTTGAGCTCCTGCAGGGTCATTGCCTTGAGAGAATGGCCCTGTCTAGCTCAGAGTCACAGGTGACTTTTTCTAAGAATAGTCCAGAGAGGAGTGATCCAGGAGTATGACATGACCAGCAAGGGGCTAGGGTAATTCCTCACACATCAGCAGCTGGTCTTATTTATTGCTGTATCTCCACTGCCCCTCTTATCCCTGTTAAAACCAAACTTCTCTTGGGATCTGGGTCCCTTCCAAAGAGAGTGAGTTTAGGAAAGCTATTCAGATGAACAAGGGCTATTCATTCAACACATGTTGATTGAGAGCCTACCTTCCTTGCATTCTCATAAGTACCCAGCCTTGTCCATCTTGTCTCAGTGAGGTACAAGATGTTTCCCCAGGAGCTCCCCCTTAAGAATTTCCCAGATCTTAAAAGAAGACACTTGGTGAAGTGAGGCAGGAAGTGCTTTTCCAGGCAGAAATACATACTGGGAAATAGACCAGAATGGGCCAAGAGACAGCGAAGAGCCAGCAGGGAGAAGTGTGTAGGTGGGTGGCCAGAACTCCTTCTCTGGAGCTCCCAGACCTGAGTTCAAGTCCCAGGTCTGGTGTTCTCTCTGTAGCTAGGGCAAGTTATCCCATCTCTGGTAGCCTTGGGTGGCTAATCTAGATAATGAGAATAAGAATAATGTGACTCACAAAGAGTTGCTATGAGAGGAAAGGAGACAAGGTGAGAAGAGCCCAGAGCTCAGTGCTGGGCAAGGAGTAAGTGTTCAATATACCATCACTGTTGGCTAAAGCTATAAATGGAAGAGCAAGAGAAGGGGATATAGGTGACTGAATGGAGCACCAGCAGCCCTGAAGCAGATGCAGAAGTGAGCAGGCTCGGGTGGGGGTTGATGGCCATCCAGCCAGCACACCCAAAGAGGCTAAGCAAAGAGGAGAGAAAAGGAGATGAAGCTGACAGTTGCTTATACAGGATGTGCTTCTGGGCCCTGGGGAGAGTCTATTGATCCTAAAGTTTGTGTCTGTCAGCATGGGGGCCACCCATTGCTCACAGGGGGCCTGAGGTGTGAAGAGTAGGGGGACATAGGGCACCTGATCCCAGGAAGTGTGATTGAACCAGATGTCACACAGGTGAGCGTCTGTGTCTGTCACTGTGATTGGATTTAGAGCATTAAAAGAAGACCCCTTTCGGCCTTTGATCAGGTCTTGACAAGTTCCTGCTTTTTGCCCGAAGGATGGACATCCGTCGAATCAGCTTCGACACAGAGGACCTGTCCGATGATGTCATCCCACTGGCTGACGTGCGCAGTGCTGTGGCCCTTGACTGGGACTCCCGGGATGACCACGTGTACTGGACAGATGTCAGCAGTGACACCATCAGCAGGGCCAAGTGGGATGGAACAGGACAGGAGGTAGGGGCCATCGAGGGAGGGCAGAGAGTAAGGGGAGGAATCCACCGTCTCCTGGGTAAAGGCTTCCCATACCTTTGGCAACCTTGAAAATTGGTACAGTTGCACCCCAGAGCTGAGGCACAGGTCCAGTTGGTTACAACAGCTTTGCTTTCTGTCTAGGTGGTAGTAGATACCAGTTTGGAGAGTCCAGCAGGCCTAGCCATTGATTGGGTCACCAACAAGTTATACTGGACAGATGCAGGTATGTACAAGGCTGATATGGCCGGCTCTGTGGGATTCCTCTTCTTAAAATTCTAGCCTCAGGGAGAAGGGGCCCAATGCCTCTCTAGACTACTTGTCTTGGCTGAAAGTTCTTGGTAGGTCAGAAGTGGTGGGGCTGCTGCAGAGCTGGAGCTATATGCTCATATCTGAGGGTTTGGCATTCGCCAATCAAATGGCAGCTATTGCTGCCGTGTAGCTGGTGCTCAAGAATGTTTTGAGGTATTTCAGAGAAGGAAACTATGCCTTGTCTTTCCATCACTGTCTTAATAAAACAGGCATTTTCTAGGAGCCAGGTGAGTATGGGAGGCAAGAAGAATGCCTTACACCAGAGCTACTCAAAGTGTGGTCCTTGGACTTGCAGCATCATCTTTTCCAAATTCAGTTAACCCATACTTGTTATGCATCTGTCGTAAAATATTTCTTAATCATCTACTGCATGTCAAGCTCTGTACTGGGAGTGGAAGGTAGTAGTGTGAATGACCAAGTATAGAGTTAATATCTTTGCCCCTTACTTCTTGGTAGGTACAGACCGGATTGAAGTAGCTAACACAGATGGCAGCATGAGGACAGTTCTCATCTGGGAGAACCTTGATCGTCCCCGGGATATCGTAGTGGAACCCATGGGCGGGTGAGCACCTGTTCCTTTTGGACCAGCTCTACCCATCCCACAGATTTGAGCTTTAAAGGGAAGTCTAGGGTAACCCCGGTGGCACAGCAGTTTAGCACTGCCTGCGGCCCGGAGTGTGATCCTGGAGACACGGGATCGAGTCCCGCATTGGGCTCCCTGTGTGGAGCTGCTTCTCTCTCTGCCTGTGTCTCTGCCCCTCTCTCTCTTTCTCTATGAATAAATAAATAAAAATCCTAAAAAAAAAATAAAAATAAAAATAAATAAAGGGAAGTCTAGAGGTTAGCGAGAATGGCCAGATCTTATGGGCAACACCAAGGCAGCAAAGGCAGCTACAGAAACCACAGAAGGCAGTGACAAACTCTGTTTCCCTTTTAAGTTTTTCATCTTTTTTTTTTTTTTGCCTGCTTACAAAGGAACTCGTAAATAAACCAACCAACAAACAAATAAGTAAATAAATCTGTAGAAATGAAGATTCCTTATAGTCTCCAGCAATAACTATTGCTAACAGTTAACAGTTTAGAATATTTTTCTAGGTTTTCTTTTACATGCATATGTATATTTGTTGTTGTTGGTGGTGGTTTTGGTTCTACAGCAACGGCATACTGTTTTATAACTTGTTTTTCTTTTTTTTCTTCACTTAACTATGTATCTTGGATATCTTTCCATTTGATAATACAGAACTATCTTGTTCTTCATGGTTACATAGAATTCCATTAAATTTGTATACTATAATTATTTATCCCATCCAGTCAAGGAAACATTTCTTGTACTCCATTCTTAACTTCCTCTTTTTCTTTATCCCTAAATAGGCCTCATTTACTAAACACTCCTTGAGCCATTGAGCTCTGCCTTTATTAAAACCCTGAGGAACCTTTGGATAGTGATAGAATATACAAGAGTTTTGGAGACAGCTTTGAGCCCACGATGAGGCTGGGAGCTGAGGCAGGAGGCTGGGGCACCTAGTGATACTTTAGGCACCCTGAGTCCCAAAGGAGTGTTAATCAGAAGGGTTCTAAGACCTTCCTTTCCTGTGCCCAGGTACATGTATTGGACTGACTGGGGTGCAAGCCCCAAAATTGAACGAGCTGGCATGGATGCCTCAAGTCGCCAGGTCATCATCTCTTCCAATCTGACCTGGCCTAATGGATTAGCCATTGACTATGGGTCTCAGAGGCTTTACTGGGCAGATGCTGGCATGAAGACGATTGAATTTGCCGGTCTGGATGGCAGCAAGAGGAAGGTAAGGGTGGTGTGAAGACATCTTACCACAACCCTGACAGCCTCCAGGGCAGCACTCCCTGGCTGGCAGCTAGGAGGACTCAGGTGTGATGGGACGAGTGTGAGGTGTGTGCTGTTCCTTTGAGACTGTGGCTACCCTCCAGAGCCAAGGAGGGTGGGTGGGGGATTGTTGCCTGATGACGAAAGGAAACTTGGGACTTTTGTAGATTGTGATGCACAGATCTTCCTACTAACCATCACAACTAACACTGTTTAAGCACCAGTTGTCTGCTGGACACGTGATCACTCTTTGTTTTTGTTATTGTTTATTGGTATAATTTCAAACTTAAACTAAAGTTGTAAGAACTGTCAAATTGTTGTATCATTCTCTATCTACACATACATGTGCGTTATTATAATTTTTCTGAACCATCGGAGATTAAATTGAAGACATCCTGTCCTTGACCCCAAAATATTTCAATTTCCTAAGAACAAGGACATTGTCCTAAGTAACCACAGTGTAGGAATCAAAATCAGGAAATTTAACATTGATACAATATTGCTGTCTAATTCATGATCCATATTCAATCTCACTACCAACTGTCCCAATAATGTCCTTTATAGTCTTTTTCTTTTCCTTTTTTCTTTCTTAGGCCAGGATCCAATCCCAGATCACAGTTGTGTTTAGTAGTCATGTCTCTTTAACCTCTAATCTGGAACACTTCCTAATAATTATTTAACCTATGCAGTCAAGGAAATAAATCCTTTCTATGTCTTTCTTGACCTTTGTATTTTCAAAAAGTAAATGCCAATTATTTTGTAGAATGTCCCTAAATCTATCCACTGTTTCCTTATGATTGGATTCAGATTGTTTTTGAGGCAAAGGTGCTACATTAAATAAAGTCATGTCCTGCCAGCACGTCTCATCAGCAGGCACAGATGTCAGCTTGTTCCCTCTACTGTGATATTAACTTGGTGTGAGTAAGGTGATTGGTTAAGGTGGTGTCCAGTGTGAAGTTGCTGTTTTTCCTTTTGTAATTAAAAAGTAACTGGTGCAGAGGTACTTTGAGATTATGTAACTCATACATGATCTTTTACTGTCATCACACAACCCTTGGAGCCAGGTTGTATCATATTATAGATGTCATGGTCACATCACAGGTTGGCAAACTGAAGTTCAGAGAGATTTTATAACTAGTTCTTGCTCAGGGTTGCACAGCAGGTGGTAGTGGGAGAACTGTATCCTGACTCCACATGTGGGTGTGGCTCCATTTTGACCACTGTTCTGTACTCTTGGACCTTGCTGGGGGATGACACAAGTGCTGGGGCCCTGGCAGGTGCTGATCGGAAGCCAGCTCCCCCACCCTTTTGGGCTGACCCTGTATGGAGAGCGCATCTATTGGACTGACTGGCAGACCAAGAGTATACAGAGCGCTGACCGACTGACGGGGCTAGACCGGGAGACCCTGCAGGAGAACTTGGAGAACCTTATGGACATCCACGTCTTCCACCGCCGGCGGCCCCCAGGTGAGCAGCCCTGGACCCGAAGTGGCTTCTCATTGGCCTTCCTTTGCTGTAGACCTCCCCATTGACCACCCCTTCCCCATCACTTCCCAGTGTCCACACCATGTGCCAGGGAGAATGGAGGCTGCAGCCATTTGTGTCTCCGGTCCCCAAATCCGAGTGGCTTCAGCTGTACCTGCCCCACGGGTATCAACCTGATGCCTGATGGCAAAACCTGCTCACCAGGTAAGTTTGAGCATCACAGACTAGGATAGAGCCTCTCCAGGAGGGGCAGTGGCTCTCTTTCTTCCCTGTGGGTGGACTCTACTGTGGGCTGAGAAACCATGGGTCCTGGTACTCTGAGAGGCTTAGGGAGACCAAGAAGTTTTAGAAAAAAAGAGAAGTCTAGGAAGAGGCCCAAGAGACCAGGTAGACAGGATCATAGACAGAGTCTAACTGGTTCTTATGGTGTCTCTATGCATGTCAGAAAAAGATGCTCATTTCTCAGATGCTTTACTTTCATTGTTGGAAAACTGTCATAATATACCGATTCAGTTAGGACAAGTCACTTTAATTCCATCTGTCCGAAGCTGGTATAATAAATATTAAGACATATGATCTCTCCAGCGTTAAGATACCTTCCTTGGGTGTAGCACTTTGTGAGTGCACAAGGTATGTGACAACCTCAACTGGAGGGTCCCAGAAGCAGAGCCTGGCTGCCCAGATGTTAGGAGTTGATATTTCTCCCTAGGGGATGCTACATGGCAGGACACATTTTTTTTTGAAGATTTTATTTATTTATTCATGAGAGACACAGGTAGAGAGAGAGGCAGAGACAGAGGCAGAGGGAGAAGCCAGCTCCATGCAGGGAGCCCGACGTGGGACTCGATCCCGGTTCTCCAGGATCACGCTCTGGGCTGCAGGTGGCGCTAAACTGCCGCACCATGCGGGCTGCCTGACAGGACACATTTGAACCCTAACTTCCTTGGGAATTTGAATGAGAAAGGATCTGTTAATTGGAACTTCCTGGTTGCAGGAAAAACTTAACATGAAGGTTTTTAAACCTCACCGTAAAACTTTCATGAGTCACTTCTAAGATATTAACAGAGCTCTCATTTATGACTGTGTGTTAGGCCCAGTGCTAAGTACTTTCCATACATGATCTCTTCTAATCCTCTTCTAATCCCTGCTATGATCCCCATTTTACAGATGTTGAAACTGAGGCTCGAACAATTTAAAGAACTTGCTCAGGATCACACTACTAGAAATTAACAAAGATGGGGCATGAACTCCAGTTTGCCTTACTCTAGACCCTCTTACTGACTACACTAGGGTGACTGTCCTCTTTCCTTTCTTCCCCACCTGGGCAGGCATGAATAGTTTCCTCATCTTCGCCAGGAGAATAGACATTCGCATGGTCTCCTTGGACATCCCTTATTTTGCCGATGTGGTGGTACCTATCAACATTACCATGAAGAACACTATTGCCATTGGAGTAGATCCTCAAGAAGGTCCGTGCGGCCCTCCTTTCCTGCCCTCCTCCCTCCCCACCCCCCAGCCCTCTTCTGTGCCTAACCTACTGTAACTGCTCTTCTTCCTCTCCCACCACCTTTGCTTCCTGCTGAGGCCCTAAGGCTCCCTGTTCCCTCTGGCACAGCCCTGCCCTCATCCCTGTAGCGCTTTCTCTATCGTAACGAGGGCATGGTTTAGGGCCTTCCTTGTCCTCTCTGCCAAGAACTTTCCTGTTAACGCTGTTTCTAGACTTCTCTTGACTTCCTCTGCTCAGAGGTATAGGGCTCTCTGACACGCCGGGTGGCTCAGGGCGTGAGTCAGCTCTGCGTATCCCTTTGGGAGAGACGAGGGTCCAGGCTGAGCCAAGCCTTCCCTTTCCAGGAAAGGTGTACTGGTCAGACAGTACACTGCACAGCATCAGCCGTGCCAATCTGGATGGCTCACAGCACGAGGACATCATCACCACAGGTGGGCCTTGCTCCCAGCCCGGGGACCACGTGTCTGGCTACAGAACTCGGGAAGTAGCCCATCTGTTTTAAGGCAGGAGCCAGTGTGCGCTCTTGACTTCCTGCAGGGCTGCAAACCACAGATGGGCTCGCAGTGGATGCCATCGGCCGGAAAGTGTACTGGACAGACACGGGAACCAACCGGATTGAAGTGGGCAACTTGGATGGGTCCATGAGGAAGGTGTTGGTGTGGGAGAACCTTGACAGCCCACGGGCCATCGTGCTGTACCATGAGATGGGGTGAGAGCCAGCTCTGTGGCTCTGGCGGGCGTGGGCGTAGATGGAATGAAGAAAGCATGCCTCATAGGAACATGGAGCCTGGCCACCGTCGGGCCCTTCTGCTCCTTGTGACTTCTTTCAGGGCAGAGGGCTAATGTAGAGGTAAAGAGCATGAGCCCTGGAGTCAGAAATCCAGGATTCAACTTCCTTTATTATTTATTAGCTGCATTTGTCCCTTTGGGTCCCATTTTTAACCTCTGATCCACAACTTCCTCACAGTAAGTGGAAGTGATAGTGAAAATGTATACCTCATGCTCTTGGGAGGATTGAGAGAATATGTGGAAAATTCTTTTTAAAAAAAAATTGGGGGGGGGGGCAGCCCAGGTGACTCGGCGGTTTAGCACCTGCCTTTGGCCCGGGGTATGGTCCTGGAGTCCCGGGATTGAGTCCCGCATCAGGCTCCCTGCATGGAGTCTGCTTCTCTCTCTGCCTCTTTCTCTCTGTGTCTCTCATGAATAAATAAATAAAATCTTTTAAAATAAAAAAATAAAATAAAATAAAATAATTTTGGTAGGGGAGCCCAGGTGACTCAGTCAGTTGGAGGATCTGACTCTTGGTTCTGGTTCAGGCTGTGATCTCAGGGTCATGAGATGGAGCTGTTTCAGGCTCTGAGCTCAATGTGGAGACTGCTTGAGATTGTTTCTTTGTCTCCCTTTGCCCCTCCCGCTCATGCTCTTGCTCTCTCTCTAAAATAAATTAAATCTTTAAAAAAATACATAAAAATTGTCATAAAAAGCAATATATAGGGGGCCGGTGTGGCTCAGTTGCTTAAGTGCCTTTGCCTCAGTCACAATCCCAAGGGCCTGAGATAGAGCCCCGAGTTGGGCTCCCTGCTGAGGGGGGAGCCTGCTTTTCCCTCTCCTATGCCTGTTGTTCCCCCTGCTTATGCTTGTGCGTGCATTCTCTCTTTCTCTCTTTTTGTCAAGTAAATAAATATATTTTTTTAAAGATTTTATTTATTCATGAGAGACACAGAAAGAGAGAGAGAGATGCAGAGACACAGGCAGAGGGAGAAGCAGGCTCCATGCAGGGAACCTGACATGGGACTCGATCCCAGGTCTCCAGGATCACACCTTGGGCCGCAGGTGGCGCTAAACCGCTGCACCACTGGGGCTGCCCTAAAATATTTTTTTTAAGTTTTAAAAAATGAAATCTACCATCCTAACCATTTTTTTAAAAAAAATTTTGGTTTTTCTTTTTTTTTTTTTTAAGGTTTTATTTATTTATCCATGAGAGACATAGAGAGAGGCAGAGACAGGCAGAGGGAGAAGAAAAAGGGAGGCTCCATGCAGGGAGTCCAATGTGGGACTCGATCCCAGGACTCCAGGATCACACCCTGGGCTGAAGTCAGGGGCCAAACCATTGAGCCACCCAGGGATCCAAGATTTTTAGTTATTTCATGAGAGACACAGAGAGAGGCAGAGACATAGGCAGAGGGAGAAGCAGGCTCCCTGGGAGGAGTCCGATGCAGAACTCGATCCCAGGACCCTGGGATCACTATCTGAGCCAAAAGCAGACACTCAACCGCTGAGCCACCCAGGTGCCCCCATCTTAACCATTTTTTTAAGTGTACAGCTCGGTAAAGTATATTCACATTATGGTGAAACAGATCTTCAGAACTTTTTCTGGAGAAAAAGTTGCAAATCTGAAACTCTATACCCATAGGTAATTCTATTTTTTACATAAAATACTTTTCACAGCATTTGGCCTATGGTCAGTACTTATGGTATATAGGAGCTATGGACATGGCAGCATGTATTTTTCCTTGCCTAGGTTCATGTACTGGACAGACTGGGGGGAGAACGCAAAGCTAGAGCGGTCTGGAATGGATGGCTCAGACCGGACTGTGCTCATCAGCAACAACCTCGGATGGCCCAACGGGCTGACCGTGGACAAGGCCAGTTCCCAATTGCTCTGGGCTGATGCCCATACTGAGGTGAGCCTCCTGCTCCTGTTGCTTCCCAGAAGCCTGGGAAGACAGAAGAGGACTGTTGAGGATCTCCAGTCTGGGTTCCTGGTCTACTCATAGACATCCCCCACCCTCTCCTTTCACTATAGCGAATTGAAGCTGCTGACCTGAATGGTGGCAGTCGGCACACACTGGTGTCACCTGTGCAGCACCCATATGGCCTCACCCTGCTTGACTCCTATATCTACTGGACTGACTGGCAGACCCGTAGCATCCACCGTGCTGACAAGGGAACTGGCAGCAATGTCATCCTGGTGAGGTCCAACCTGCCGGGCCTCATGGACATCCAGGCTGTGGACCGGGCACAGCCACTGGGTAAGAGGACCCATAGGGCTGTGCATCAGAGCTGGCTTTTGGGGCATATTTTAGTGCCAGAGACAGGTCCAGAGTACAGAGAGATTCTTTTACAATGTCAGAGACAAGGACCTGCTGGAGCCCCTTCCTAAATCAAGCTGTGTTCCATCTGGGTATGGCTTGTACTACAACTGCATGATGCTGTCACCTTTAAAAGACTCCTGAAGGGAGACACACCTGTTCCTTCTCCCTCATCTGTGCCAGTCACTAAATTCTGTCACTTAGAACAGCAGACAATCAGGCAGAAGAAACTAGGGCCTTTGTGAGTTTCACACACTAAGCCAGGCTGGTCAAAGCTCGTGCCTCTCGCCTCACCAGGTTTTAACAAGTGTGGCTCTAGAAATGGCGGCTGCTCCCACCTCTGCTTGCCTCGGCCCTCAGGCTTTTCCTGCGCCTGCCCCACTGGCATCCAGCTGAAGGGAGATGGGAAGACCTGCGATCCCTCTCCCGAGACCTACTTGCTCTTCTCCAGCCGTGGCTCCATCCGGCGTATCTCGCTGGACACTAGCGACCACACAGATGTGCACATCCCTGTTCCTGAGCTAAACAATGTCATCTCCCTGGACTACGACAGTGTGGATGGAAAGGTCTATTATACGGATGTGTTCCTGGATGTTATCAGGTATGAGTGTCCCTGAAATCTCCAGAGGACACAGAACCATTTCTGATCCCTGATGGAGGTCCGTGTTGACCTCTAAATAGACTGAATGATTTGATAGCTTGGGTCATGAGTTCTGATCCTGATTTGTTTGCTTATCAGTTATAATACAGTTCAAATTTTGGTTGTTTTTGTTGTTGTTGTTGTTATTTATTTCCAGATGAATAGAAGCCCATTATGTAAAACAGTCAGGCTGAGGATCTGGAGCCTTTACCCTACTATTGGGCCCTGCGGGAGTTCCAAGGATCCCCTAAGACTCAGTGATGAGTAGGCCATGTATCTGTATTACAATACAGGAGTCCTGCCCAAATGCTGAGGCTTGTGGTTGTTCACAGGGTTTCACTTTGCTGTTTTAAAAATATTTTTGTTTTATTTTACGTTTTATTATTCTGTCAGTTTTTTTAAAATATTCTGTCAGTTTTTAAAAAGATTTTTTTTTATTTATTCATGAGAGACAGACAGAGACAGAGAGAGAGGCAGAGAGGCAGAGACACAGGCAGAGGGAGAAGAAGGCTCCATGCAGGGAGCCTGACATGGGACTCGATCCCGGGTCTCCAGGATCACACCTTGGGCCAAAGGGGCACTAATCTGCTGAGCCATCCGGGCTGCCTAATTTTTTTATCCTATCGTAGTTGAGGAATGTGATGCCCTGCCACTAGTATGAGAGGTTTACCGTGGCAGAGATTCTCATGTGAAAATATAGGGGCATTCACCTTTCATTCACCTTTGTTCTCCCTACTGGGTGTATTAGAATCTCATGCTGAGGGATGCCTGGGTGCCTCAGCTGATTAAGCATCTGCCTTTGGCTCAGGTCATAATCCCAGGGTCCTAGGATGGAGCCCCACATCAGGCTCCCTACTCAGTGGGGAGCCCGTTTCTCCCCCTCTTCCTCAACCTTGCTTGTGCTCTCTCTCTCAAATTAATAAACAAAATCTTAAAAGAAAGAAAAAAGAATCTCATGCTGGTAATAGGTAGGAATATGTAGTTTAGAGAAGTTCCTTAAGTGTTTGTGACATACTCCCATCCTGTGGTTGAAGTACCTGGTATAGGACTAAAGTAAAAATACATAGGTAGATTTTGACAAATTTACTTTTCTTATCATTACCAGCTAGCAATCCTTATCATTTCCTTAAGTTATATGGGGAATTACTAATCTGTCTTCTGTAAGACATGGGCCCAAACACCTCCTATTTATAGCAGGAAATATTCTGTCCTCCCAAGAATTTGTTCGTTAATTGTTTTTTTTTTTTTTAAGATTTTTTATTTATTTATTCATGAGAGACACAGAGAGAGAGACAGAGACACAGGCAGAGGGAGAAGCAGGCTCCATCCAGGGAGCCCGACGTGGGACTCGATCCCGGGTCCCCAGGATCAGGCCCTGGACTGAAGGCAGTGCTAAACCGTTGCGCCACCTGGGCTGTCTTGTTTGTTAATACTGCTAATATTTTGAGTATCTACTGTGCTAGGTGCTGAGGAATGTACTGGTAGATATGTGGTCTCTGCCTCTGTGGAGCTTGCAGTCTAGTAAGGATCTACTTAAAGGAACATGGATTAAAGGGGTTCCAGTCTAGGGGCGACTGTCTAGCTTAGTTGAAGGAACATGTGACTCATGATCTTGGTGTAGCAATTACTTAAATAAATATAACTTTAAAAAGGAGGGGGATGTTTCAGTCTATTTCTGGTCAGTCAGGTCAGTTATCCAATCCTGGGCTGTTCCCTAGGCGAGCGGATCTGAATGGCAGCAACATGGAAACAGTGATCGGGCGTGGGCTGAAGACCACCGATGGGCTGGCAGTAGACTGGGTGGCCAGGAATCTGTACTGGACAGATACAGGTCGAAATACCATTGAAGCATCAAGGCTAGATGGTTCCTGCCGCAAGGTGCTGATCAACAACAGCCTGGATGAGCCTCGGGCCATTGCTGTTTTTCCCCGGAAGGGGTAAGTTAATGGCCAACAGAAGAGAGACCCAGGAAAAAAGCCCCCAATGAAGAGTTTCTTGGAAGATGCCTATATTTTAATGGTATCCAAGTGTCCCCTGTATTCTCTCAGCCCCTGGGTGTTATCTTCCCATGCCTTGGTGATGATGGCAGTGTTGTATCTCAGGTACCTCTTCTGGACGGATTGGGGCCACATTGCCAAGATTGAGCGGGCAAATTTGGACGGCTCTGAGCGGAAGGTCCTCATCAATACAGACCTGGGTTGGCCCAATGGCCTTACCCTGGACTATGATACCCGCAGGTGGGAACCTTGTCCTGGTAGCTTCCTGAAATTGGGTGGGCAGATGAAAGGGTGGTTGAGATTCAGACAGTGAAAATGAAAAGATGGAAAGCTCTTTGTTGGGTAAGGAGGAAAAAGCAGTGAGAAGGATGAGAAGATATACTCTGAATCTGGCCCTCAGTCCTCAGATGGATTTTATTTGTATGGTTTACATGTTTTTGATTTGAGTGTCTTTAGCAGAGCACATCCTCTGGCTGGACCACCAGTCCCATGACTCCCTCCCTACCTGTTAAAGGCTGATTTTTTGCGTGTTACTTTTCTGATCCCTCCACTCATTGGAATTCACAACTCCTTGTCTAGATCAAAAATGCTAGAGGGTGGGAGAAGAGGGTGACAGAGGCTTTGAGGCAGTCTGTTTCCCTTTCTGCCCCCAGAACAGGAGAAAACAATCAAAGGCACCTGTAGAGCTGGGCTAGCGAAGAGGAATGCTTTCGTCCTTTAACTTCAGTGATGTCCTTTTAGACTGTGATCTCTTCTTAAAGAGTATTCTCAAGAATTTGGGCTTCAATTCTTGGGAAGGAGTCAAAGAGTGATCAGGTTACTGAAGATGAGCCTGGTCACTAGACTCTCTACTCCATACCCAGACAGCTCTGCCCCCTCGCCCCCTACTTGAGTCACCAGCTTTTCTTCTTCAGCTTTGGGACTCGCAATGACCTCTGATTATCAAGGGTGCTTTTTGACTGCTCACAGCAACTGCTAGTTCAGCTCAGGAGGGGGACAGATAGCTTCTTTGGGGGGAAGGACTCGGCTTCTTGACAATCATTTTGAGCAGCCACCTTCTCTCTTTTCCTTCATAGGATCTATTGGGTAGATGCACATCTGGACCGGATTGAGAGCGCTGACCTCAATGGGAAGCTACGGCAGGTGTTACTCAGCCATGTCTCCCACCCCTTTGCTCTCACCCAGGTATTGGCTCAGGAGAGACAACTAAACCTCCTTGATGAGGGGTGTTTCCTCAGGGTTCTAAGTTGACAGCCTCTATCCTAGTTGCTTCTCCACAGGCATGCCATGGAAGCCCATTTTAGGGGCATTTCCCATACACTGACACTTTGCCATGGTGTGCCTGCTACTCCTATCCCACCACTCCATGTTCTAGCATTTGAGGGAGGGGCTCTCAAATGTAGGTTCCTGGGCCCTGGGATATAAAGAATCTGCATTGTGAGTGTTGGGCTCAGGAATGTGTATTTTAACAGATTCCCTAGTTGATTGTAATGCTGTGTTTCCAACATCTGAGCCCAGGCAGCTTGCTTAGTGGCAGTAGGGTGGAGTGGCTATGAGCCAGAGTTTTGAGGCAACCAGCCAGTTGGCATGTGTTTACTAAGTGCCTCGAATCTGCCAGCTCTGTGGGTTCAAGCTCCACCTGTATCATTGAATAAGTGCAACTTTGGACAAGATACTGAACTTCTCTAAGCTTCACTTACCATTACCATTTAATAATGGTGTCCAACTGAAATATACACAAAGCATTAGCACACTATCTAGTACTCAGTGCATGTTATTTTTAATCATTTTAATTATTGCTGGCTGTTATTTTTGAGTTCTAACCCTGTACGACAATTTAGGGAAGAGAAAAAGGAGATCTGTCAAGCCTGAGGCCAAAACAGAGATTCTCAATCATTTAAAAATCTTTGGTCTTTTTGACAAATTTCCACTTAAACCTGCGTTGTGCATGATATCCTATCAGCCAATAAGATTTTGGCTCTACTTAACGATAGGCTTCTCCCATGCCATACTGCAAATATCAAACTACAAGATGATATTGAATATGGTTTCTCAATATTTAAGTGTCCCCTTGGATTTCTCATATATACCCAGAAGCAGGAGGGAACCACCTTCTCTTCCCTCCCCACCCCTGCTTGAGAATCTCAGGATCACTGCATTAGATGGCAGCTTTCCCCAGAAGTAACCAGAACATTTGGGCCAGGGCTCTAAGTGAAGGGCCCAGAAGAGCAGGGACCTTAGAAGAACCCCCTGCCCCCAGGTTACTCCTATTTGCTAGGTACAAGAACTCATTATTCATTGAGCCACTCAGTTAACTGAGGATTGGGTGTGAGTGCTAAAAATTGAGAGATAAATACATTTTTTGTTCTTGAAGAATTTAATCTTCCATGACAGACATGTAAACGAATGACCATGGAGCATAAAAGGTAGTAGGCATGGAACAGCATGAAGGAGTGAATTCTGTATGGATTATGGGGAGCTTTCCTGGATGGTGCCATACTGGGGACACCCGCAAGTGTGTGCTGGATAAGAGACATAGAGGACATTTCAGCAGAGGGGATGTATATACTGAAGCACAGGAGATCTACTGGGGTCAGACTGTTGAATAAAATTTACCTTTTATTGGGTTTTCCTGTTGAGTAGCAGGACAGGTGGATCTACTGGACAGACTGGCAGACCAAGTCAATCCAGCGTGTTGACAAGTACTCAGGCCGCAACAAGGAGACAGTGTTGGCGAATGTAGAAGGGCTCATGGATATCATTGTGGTTTCTCCCCAACGACAGACAGGTGGGCTCCCGGGTCCTGAGCCTGCTTCCTTACCCTTAGTGGGGTGGTTTGTCTTCCCAAGGGCTCTTAATGACCAAGACAGTGAGACTCACAGGGAGCCTTTTGGTTCCCATTTTAAGCTCTTAGACCTTTTTCAGCCCCATGTGGCTGTACCCCTTCTGCCCTACTGCCCTAAGGTGAGGTGGCCCTGGGGCTCCTCCTTTCTGAGAAGTGTCAAATTGGGAGACCTGATTCTGTCCCAAACCAGATACTCACCCACTTTGCCTCTAGGGACCAATGCCTGTGGTGTGAACAATGGAGGCTGCACCCACCTCTGCTTTGCCAGAGCCTCAGACTTTGTATGTGCATGTCCTGATGAGCCAGATGGCCGGCCCTGCTCCCTTGGTGAGTTGGATTGAATGGCCCCCTGGAACAGCAGAGCCCTAAGAGTGGCAGGAGATCATCAGCCTCAGCTTTGTCATTTCAGATGGGATCTGTTTCAGGGGTAACGCAAAGTGACTAAGAACAATTAGTTTGAGCTTTGAAATAGTACAAATCTGGGTTTGTCAGGCTTCTGGCATTTACTAGAATGGAATTCAGGTCTCCTAGTTCCCTGATCCCTGCTGTGGCCTGTGAACTGCTATCTTTTCCTGACCTTCGTGGACCAGGGAGCCATCCAGAGCTAATAATATTGGAGCCCAGGGGTGCCTGGGTGGTTCAGTTAGTTAAGTGTCTGCCTTTGACTTGGGTCATGATCCCAGGGTCCTCAAATCAAGCCCCACATCAGGCTCCTTGCTCAGCATGGAACCTGCTTCTCCCTCTCCCACTGCCTGCCGCTCCCCCTGCTTGTGCGTGCCCTCACCCACCCCCCTGCCTCTCTGTCAAAGAAACAAATAAAATCTTTTACAGAATATATTGGAGCCCAAGTCCATTTTATACAGAATTAAGAGAATATTGGGGCCCAAATCCATTTTTTTTACAGAATTAAGAGTCTCTAATAAGGATGTCTAGGATTAGGGTAGCTATAAGATTGCTTCATCAGCTGTCCCAGGGTGCTATTCTTGGGTCATATGTAGAGACTGAGGGTTCCAGGGACTCACTCCAGTCCTCTTTTTCTCTCCAGTACCTGGTGTAGTGCCCCCAGCTCCCAGGGCTACCAGCATAAGTGAAAGGAGCCCAGTGCTACCCAACACACTGCCTACCACCTTGCATTCCTCTACCACACAGACCCGCACATCTCTGGAGGAGGTTGAAGGAAGGTAAGTGTATTCAGTATGGGATTCAGGGCTCTTTTTTCCAAATCACCATCTCTCACCAGCAGAAGACCGCATTCATAGCTCAGTCATTTCCTTTATGGCATTCCTCCTTTTCTGTGACATTTTCATACCACCTGTTTAGTAGATGGTCTTCTACAGTTTGCTTAGAAGCCACCAAGTCATAGTGATCTCTGGGGTGTGGCTTTAGGACTTGGAACATCCTCAGGGTTGTGATAGCCTTAGCTTATAATGACTTCAGACACACATGCATGTATGTGCACATGTGTGTACAGATGTACACACATCCTATTATTAAATAAGCAAGCATAACCATGAACAGTTCTCAGATCAAGTATAAAATATGTATTTAATTAAATTGATGGTACTATCAGTTTAAGATGCATTCTAATTGAGAATGTCAACTAAAAAAATGACCAACATCAATTGTGAGATGCCACTGATTGTTTTTTTTTTTTTTTTTGAGATGCCACTGATTGTAAGACACATCCCTGTTCCAGAGGTGTTGGTTTTATATTCTAACAATATAAATATAAAATAAGACACATCTTAAATTTGATTGAATATGATATTACATTTAATTTAGAGAAATTCTCATGTTTTTTTTTATTTGTACTTTGCAAGAAAAATAATGTGGAAGTATGGATAGAAATTAAGAAATAGGCCCAATATAGGGAAGCCTGGGTGGCTCGGTGGTTGAGACCCTCTGCCTTTGGCTCAGGGCGTGATACCGGGGTCCTGGGATGGAGTGCCGCATCGGGCTCCTTGCATGGGGCCTGCTTTTTCTCCCTCTGCCTGTGTTTCTGCCTCTCTTTCTATGTCTCTCATGAATAAATAAATAAAATCTTAAAAAAAAAAGAAGAAAGAAGCCCGATATATAGTTACTCTTAATATTTTTTATTTGATATATGTATAAATTGCAAAATGATTTGCACAGTGAGTTTAGTTAACATCCATCACCACACATAGCCACAAATTATTTTTCTTATGATGAGAACTTTTTAGATTTACTCTTTTATCAACTTCCAAATGTAGAATATAGTATTGTTGATGATATTCACTATGCTGTACATTATTTCCCCAGGACTTAGTTATCTTATAACTAGAAATTTGCATGTTTTGAACACCTTCACTCATTTTATCCATCCCTGCTACCTCCCACCTCTGGTAAACACCAATCTATGAGTTTGGGTTGTTTTTTTTTTTTTTTTTTTCATATTCCAGTATAAATGAGGTTGCATGGTATTTGTCTTTCTCCATCTATTTCATTTAGCATAATGTACTCAAGGTCCACTTATGTAGTCACAAATGGCAGAATGTCTTTTTTTTTTTTTTTTTTTTGCTGAATAATATTCCATTATATATTGAGGTGACTGGGTGGCTCAGTCTGTTGAGCATCCAGCTCTTGATTTCGGTTCAGGTCATAGTCTCAGGGTTATGAGATCAAGCCCTGCATTGGGCTCCACTCTGAGCTCAGAGTTGGCTTGTCCCTCTCCCTCTGCTCCTCCCTACTACTTGTGCTCTCCCTTTCTCTCAAATAAATAAGTAAATAAAATCTTTAAAAGAAAAAAGAAAGAAAAAAATTCCATCTTATATATATATGCCACATTTTCTTTATACACTCATCCATCAGTGGATACTTAGGTTGTTTCCATGTTGTGCCTATTGTAGATAATGCTACAGTGAATGAGGGTGTAGATACCTTTTCAAGATAGTGATTTACTTTCCTATTGTTACTATTTTGATGTCTATCTTTCTAGACATTTTTCTGTTAAGACATTTTCTTTCCATTGTGATATACTGGTCTCCTTATTTTCGGTATCAACTTCAGCTTAAAAGATAATTAACAATTTCAATTCTGGAAGCAGAAATATAATAATAATCCCAAATGAGAGCTCTAGACTCATGTCTTTATTATTATTATTATTATTATTATTATTATTTTAGACCCATGTCTTTATTTTTTTTTAATTTATTTATTTATGATAGTCACACACACACAGAGAGAGAGAGGCAGAGACACAGGCAGAGGGAGAAGCAGGCTCCGTGCACTGGGAGCCCGACGTGGGATTCGATCCCGGGTCTCCAGGATCGCGCCCTGGGCCAAAGGCAGGCGCCAAACCGCTGCGCCACCCAGGGATCCCTCATGTCTTTAAAGTTATAAAATTTGCGTGGTGCCTGGATGGCTCAGTTGGTAGAGCATGCGACTCGTTAGCTCAGGGTCATGAGTTCAAGCTCCACACTGGGTGTAGAGTTTACTTAAAAAATAAAAAAGAAGGGCACCTAGGTGCTCAGTCAGTTAAGCATCTCCCTTTAGCTCAGGTCATAATCCCAGGGTCCTGAGATTGAGCCCCGTGTCAGACTCCCTGCTCATCTGGGAGCCTGCTTCTCTCTCCCTCTGTCCATCCCTTGACCCCAACTCCTACATATGCTCTCTCTCTCTCTCTCTCTCAAATAAATAAAATCTTTAAAAATAAAGTCTGAGAACTAGAATTAGGGTATTAAGAAATGAATAAAATAAAATTTGCACATGATCGAATTAATTCTATTTGCCCCATTTTCTCTTTTTAGTTTATACAGAAAGGCAAACATCCGGGACCCCTGAGTGGCTCAGTGGTTGAGTGTCTGCCTTTGTCTCGGGTCGTGATCCCGGAGTCCTGGGATCGAGTCCTGAATCAGGCTCCCTGCTCAGTGGGGAGCCTGCTTCTCCCTCTGCCTATGTCCCAGCCTCTCTCTCTGTGTCTCTCATGAATAAATAAATGAAATCTTAAAAAAAAAAAAAAGGCAAACATTCAGATATAAACATGTAGCTTTTTTACTAACTTTTAAGTACTATCAATCATGATTAATCTGATTTTCTTTAGGATAATTTAGAAAACTTCTGAACCCTACTAAGATATTTTCTTAAATTCAGAGTCTATTTGAAGACTTCATGCATCTTGGTTTCAAATGCTCTTTCAAATAGCTTTTCTCTAGCCTTTTAGGATATGCCTTTAATTGCCTGTTCATAATGTGCCACAAAGAAGTTACCTTCTTAGCATTTCAAGCTGGTTCTCTGAGCCCTCCCTCTGGATGTCTTGCATATTCCCTAGTGAAAGAATGAAGAGAAGAAAAACAATTTTTTTCAAGGTCTATTTAGACCTTGTGATAATCTGTATCCAATCAGAGGTTTGGTTGGCTGGTAGTTTCTTCCAGCTCATCCTGGTAGTTTAATAAATCCTCCCATTGGTACCTTAGCATTCTGTCAGCAGACTTCCAGCTCACTTCCAAACCTGCTTCTCCTTTTTAGAGGAATCTTTTTTAAAGAGTACATATTTTAAAACCTATTTATATATTTATTTAAACATTTTTTAAAGATTTTATTTATTTATTCATGAGAGACACAGAGAGAGAGGCAGAGACACAGGTAGAGGGAGAAGCAGGCTCCTTGTGGGGAGCCCAATGTAAAACTTGATCCCAGGACCCCAGGATCATGCCCTGAACCAAAGGCAGACACTCAACCACTGAGCCACCCAGGCATCCCTAAAACCCATTTAAGCATGGGGCTCCTGGATTGTTCAGTAAGTTGAGCAGCTGACTTTTGATTTTGGCTCAGGTCATTCATGATCTCAGTCCTGCATCAGGTTCCATGCTCAGCTGGGAGTCTGCTTGAGACTCTCTCTCCCTGGGCTCCCCTGCCCCCACTCGTATTCTCTCTCATTCTTTCTCTCTCTCTCTCTCTCTCTCTCTCTCAAATAAATAAATAAATAAATAAATAAATAAATAAATAAATCTTTTTAAAAAGAAACATTTAAGGGGCACTTAGGTGGCTCAGTCGATTAAGTTTCTGCTTTCGACTCAGGTCATGATCCCAGGACCCTGGGATTGAGCCCAGCATTGGGCTCTCTGCTTAGTGGGGAGGCTGCTTCTCCCTCTGCCTCTGTCTGCTGCTCCTCCTGGTCATGCGTTCTCTCTCTCTCTCTCTCTCTCTCTCTCTCTCTGTCAAATAAATAAAATCTTTTAAGAAAAGAAAGAAAGAAAGAAAGAAAGAAAGAAAGAAAGAAAGAAAGAAAGAAAGAGTAAGAAAGAAGAAAGAAAGAAAAAGAAAGAAAGAAACCATTTAAATATGATGTAGCATCTTGAAGACAGTGACTCACAATGATTTCTCTATATTTCCTAGTCTATGCTTCTGATGTCTCCCATCAAGTACAATCAGATATCTAAAAGTTCCACTCATAGCCCTTTCCCCCTGTCCTTCTTAGGACTTTCCTTTTCTTTTTCTTTTTTTATTTAAGAGAGGGAGAGAGAGAGAGAGAATCTTAAGCGGGCTCCACACCCTGCCCAGAGACTTACTTGGGGCTCGATCTCACAACCCCAAGATCATGACCTAACCTAAAAATCAGGAGTCAGATACTGAACCAACTGAGCCCCCCAGGCACCGCACCACCCCCCCCCCCCGCCGGACTTTCTCTCTTACCTGGAGGAAGGCAAGATCTTTATCAAATACAAGTAGCCCTCACATTCTGTTTTCTCTGCCCCACAGATGCTCTGAAAAGGATGCCCAGCTGGGCCTCTGTGCACATTCCAATGAGGCTGTACCTGCTGCTCCAGGTGAGCCCTGAGTGCCCAACTATTTTGGAAAAGGATGTAGGGGATCCAAGTCTCCACTGATAGCTTCCAGAACCTTCATGGGGATGCTCTGGGGTTGTTGAACCCATGTCTCAGAGTAAATAAATAGAAAAACTAATATTAGCTAGCTACCATTTATGGAATGCTTTCCATATGCCAGCCATTTTGTTAAGCTGTATGTATATGTCTGCACATATACATGTGTGCATATATATGTATGTAAATGCTCATGTTTCACTGCCACCAGGCTATGAGCATTTTATTATTTACATTTAACTGATGAGAAAACATAGGGTTCAAGTTAAGTGTCTTGCCATAAGTCACATTGGCCAGTAAGTAGTGGAATTGGCATTAGAGCTGGCAGGCTGTTAGGTTTTGTCTCAGGCCTCTACCCTGTGGCCTTTTCCCTGACTGTCCTCAGATGGTGTGGCATCCAACCCCTACTAAAGGAGCCCTCTGTCTTCCATCCCTCACACCAACTGGAGGATTGTCATTGGTCCCCACCTAGCATCTCTGTTCCTCCTAGGGGAAGGACTTCATGTCAGCTACGTCATTGGTGGACTCCTCAGTATTCTGCTGATTTTGGTGGTGATCGCAGCTTTGATGCTATACAGGTAACCTCAGCCTCATTGCGGGGGCCATGTGTCCATTGGTCCTCATTAACACGTCTGTGATCTCCCGAACTCCATGTCTTGCTGATCCAACCTCTGACCAGCCTCACGTCAAGATGGGTCTCTGGTCAGAGCCACAGAAAGGAAGGGTAGAACCTGAATCCTTATTCTTCTTCACCATTCACAACTCAAGCAGGTTCCACATGTTATGACCAAGCAGCCGTTGGGACTTTGTAGACTGAGATGCCGAAGGCACAGAGGGTATTACCCAAGGTCAAACAGTAAGAGGCAAAGCGGGGACTGATGCTGGCACCTCTGCTTTTCCACTACTCTACCTCACCTCAAATGATGGAAGTTCGAAAGGCTTTTCTCTTCACATAACCATAGCCTTTATTACAATATTGTTTGATATGTCATTGCCCCATAGGGATCATCCCAGGAAGATGGAGTATGTCATTTTCAATTTAGAAACCTCTTTTTGTGGCCCTCTATTTATTTTCCCCAAATGCTTTAAACACAGCTTGCAGCAGAAATACCAGGATTTTGCTATGCTGCTGTGGTTCCTGCTAAGGACAACAATGCTAATAATAATAGTAACAGTTACTAGCCAGTGACTATGTATCAATGCCACAACAATGTTGTAGTACAGGTATTGTTATTCCTCACTTTACAGATGAGTATCTGAGGCTCATAGAGTTTAGATTATGTCCACCAAGATCCCAGCTAGTAAATAATAGATGTGGGATTGATGCAGATCTGGCTTGATTCAGTCTATTAGCTAGCTATTGCTGTATAGTAAATTATTCCAAAACTCAACAAATTAAAATGACAGCCATTTTATTATCTCACAGTTTCTGTGGGTCAGAAATCTGGATTCAGCTTGGCTGTGTGCCTCTGCCTCAAGGTTCTCTTACAGGCTGCAGTTCAGGTATCATCTAGGGTTGTGGTCTTTTCTCAAGGCTTGACTGGGGAGGGATTCCCCACTTATGTAGCTGTTGGTAGGATTCCGTTCCTCGTAGGCTGTTGGACTAAGGGTCTCAGTTCCTTGCTGGCTGTTGGCTAGAGGTCTCCCTCCCTTATCTGCCTTGTGGGGCCTTCCCAAAGGACAACCGACAACAAGGTAGCTTGCTTCCCTCGGAGGAAGCATAAGGGAGAATTAGGGAAGAAAGGCAACCAAGGATGGAAGTCCCAGATTTCTTTGGAACCTAATCTAGCATCCATCACTTTTGTATATTCTGTTCTTGTCAGAAGTGAGTCGCCAGGGGTTGGTGGAGTGTGTGACTTTTGATTTAGGATTGTGGATTCGAGCCCCACACTGGGTGTAGAGACTTAAAAATTAAAAATAAATTAAAAATAAAATAGAAAGAAGTGAGTCACCGAATGTAGCCCACACTTAAGGGACAAGGATTCAGAAGGTGTGAGGACCAGGAGGCAGGGGTCACTGGGGCCATCTTAGAAGCTGCCTGCTGCATTCGGGGTACAACTTCCCCAGATACCACCGCCATAAAGATCTGAACTAATTTCTCATCACTTTTCCTCCTAAAGACACAAAAAATCCAAGTTAACTGATCCTGGAATGGGGAACCTGACCTACAGCAACCCCTCCTACCGAACTTCCACTCAGGAAGTGAAAATTGAAGCAATCCCCAAACCAGCCATGTACAATCAACTGTGCTATAAGAAAGAGGTAAAAATTACAATTTACATTTAAGGTGGGGTTTTTTGTGTTTTGGTTTTTGTTTTTCGGGGAAGGGGGGGAAGGATATGTTCCAGTTGCCTGAATGGATCAGTGAGGGATACTGGTAGTCCCATCTACCATTTTGGCAGTTATAGTGAACAGAAGAACTAAATCTAATTTGGAGAGATCTAGATTCTCTGAGGGACCAGCTTGAGGGACCTTAGTGAGAGCAAGGTTAGTAAGCAGATTTCAGGAGGTCTAGGTCTGAAAGCATGTGAGTATGCACCTCCCTGCCAGGAGATAACTTCCCAGGCTCATAGGTTTTCCCTCCCGTAGTCATCATTCCCCTGCAGTGAGGCTGCACCCCTTTGAGATGCCCTAGACTCCTAGACAATACCCCAAAAACCCACGAGCTCCTGGACTGTCCCTTTTCTAACCTCTGATCCAAGCTATTGGCATCTATGGCTGGGAATGGCTGGGTTTTTTGCTATTCTTTCTCTTATCACAGAGTCTTAAGAGATTTCTCTAGCATTCTAAAGATTTACATGCTTTTGCTCTCTTAACTCCTTTGTTACTTCAGTGAAAAATTATATGCTGAATGTTTAGGCCTGAAAAATAGTCCCAGTTCCACAAGGGATCAGTACCCTGCAATTTCAGATTTTCCTAGTCTAATATGATCCCTGCTTTTTCCAAAATCCTGTAACCCTTCATCAGGAGTTAATATCCCTTATGAAACCTAATTGGTCTACTCTCTTGGCCTGTCTAGCACAGTCAACACTTGCCTTCACATATACAGGGCTCCTATGCACAATGAGTACGTTTTATGTAATAATCACATGCTTTCTGGATCCATGAATTTCCATATAAAAAAAGCTTCTACTGTAAGCCAAAACACAACCTGCAGGGATAGTTTGCAGTTAGAGGGTTGGTAGACCTCTCCTCAATTAGTATCTCTGAGAGACTCCTGAGTCTTCGGTTCCTAGAGTGTTTGATGCCCCAGAGAAGAACTGTCATAAGGGTCATAGGTTATAACTGAAAAGTGTGTGACCTCTTTCTTCTGTTGTATGCTTTTCCTCAGCAGCTCTTTCACCCCTCAGACAGTCTTTCACCCTTTCTCTTCTGATTTCCTCTTGATTTCAGGTACCTGTTGTGGTGTGTTTGTAGAGGAAAGGGTGCCCCCCCCCCAAACTGCCAGTGCCATTACTCCCACCTCTTCCTAATTCCTAACCTACTCAGCAGTGTGTCTCTGCAATGAAGACACTGCATGTCTCCATCTAATCTTAAGCTAATTTCAGCTCTTGGAGGGTGTGCTGGGTGAATTGGTGTGGGTCTGCAGGCATGCACCTGTGTGCTTGTGTGCTATGTCTGTCTCTGCTCTGGAGGGAGCTGTCACTCTTAGAGTACAGTCATCAGAATATATGGTTTAATGTAGGGGCTTAGTAAAGGTGCTTAGCCAGGCTAGTCAATAGAATATACAACTCTTGATCTCAGAGTTATGAGTTCGAGCCCCACATTGGATATAGAGATCACTCAAAAATAAAATCTTCAAAAAAAAATGTAGGGTCGCAGTTAAATATCCAAGGAGTTGAATTGCTCCTAAAATAGAGGAGCACTTGCAGAGCTCTTGGCAGGAACACCATCCCAGGATAGAACCTAAGCCATGCCCGTTTTTTCCCTGGTACTGGTAGGCATGTTGGTTGGTATCCCCCAGAAACCAGGAGTAAGCCTACCCTTTGAGAAACCCATAAAAGGAGAAGCTTGACTAGAACTGTCACTGTCCTTAGAACAATCCCAGGTCACTTGGGAATGGCCTCAAGGCTTGTGGGAGCAGAGCCAGAGTAACCCCCCAAAAAACACTATAGGTTATACCCCGATGGATTGACTGACACTCAGAACCCAAATAAGATTTTCTAGATTCCTTCTGTCTTACTTCCCAAAAATTTTCTCCTAAACAAAATTAGAAAGAAGAGAAGTAAGAATAAAAGATCACAGAAGTAGTTTAAAATTCTGAATAAGTACACATTGAATTGCCTTTATCAGTTACCTTTGATCGCGTACATCAGCATGATGTCCCATTAATAAACCACAATAACAATGTAACAATGGCTTACATGATTTCGTGTTTCTTATGTGTCAAGCACCTACTAACTGTGTTCCATGTGTCGCCTCATTGATCCCTCACAGCACTTGGTTATGAGGTGGATACTGTTATTCTCCCTACACTACAGATATGGAGACTGACCTTAGAGATGCTAAGTATTTGCCCAAGGTGACCTAGCCAGTGAGTGGATGATACAGGACTGGAAGCCATGGTTCTCCCTCCTCCCTGTCTGAGGATGGTAATAATCATCCTAATCCTAGCTGCTACTCTCCTTTTAGGCTGACTCATCTGTTTGCTCTGACCATGTCTCCCCATTCATTTGTGGGATCTTTGTACTCCTCACACCTCCTCTCACACCATCCACTTCCTTTTTCAGTTCACCATGAGATCCTTTATAGAGAGCCAACCGACTGACCGTGTCTCCCCACTCTCCACCCTAGGGCGGGACTGACCATAACTACACCAAGGAGAAGATCAAGATCGTAGAGGGAATCTGCCTTCTGTCTGGGGATGATGCTGAGTGGGATGACCTCAAGCAACTGCGCAGCTCACGGGGGGGCCTTCTGCGGGATCATGTATGCATGAAGACAGACACAGTGTCTATCCAGGCCAGCTCGGGCTCCCTGGATGATACGGAGACGGAGCAGCTGTTGCAGGAAGAGCAGTCTGAGTGTAGCAGTGTCCATACCGCAGCTACTCCAGAAAGACGGGGCTCTCTGCCAGACACAGGCTGGAAACATGAACGCAAGCTCTCCTCAGAGAGCCAGGTCTAAATGCCCATGTCTCTTCCCTCCCTGCCTGTTCCTTCTCCTTTATGGACTTCCAGTCCTTGTGCTCACTTATACAACAGGCCCCCCAACCTATGTGCTCGTCCTTCTCCCTCCCCCCAAAAAACTGCTCCTGAGACCTCCAACGGGAGCTGTTTCCACCTGAGTCCGTAACTACCTGTGCACAAGAAGTGATGGTGCATCCCGAAAACGTAGACCTGGATTTTACCACGAACCTCACCTCTTGCACTCCATCCTGAGCCTCTGAAACTAGGCTTGGTAATGATTCCTCATCAGTACAGAGCTCCACGTCCCCTTTCCCTGGTACCCTGCCCCACGAGAACGGATGATCCCCAAGACTTCACTCTCCCCTGTCAGAGCTGGCCTGGCCGCTTCTCTGAGAGAACTTGCCCATCAAGTTCTGCTGGGGCAGGGGTCAAGGGTAGAGAGAGCGATGAAGGATAGAGGCTGAGAAAGGAAGAAGTAAGCCCAGCTGGTATGGGCGTCTCAGAAGCCTCCAGCCTCAAGTGCATTGGTAATATGAGAAAGCTTTTAAGGGTTGTTGGGCTGCATGTCCTGTCCATTGCTGGCAATGGATATTATTCTTGCCCTAAGAGCTACTGTTTTTTTTTTTTTTTTTTTCAGCTGCCAGTATTGGTGAGATCTGGGTGTGGCTCAAGCTGTTCTTCCTCCTTCTAGAGTATCTAGAAGCTTTTCTACCTTCCGATGACAGAGCCCTTATCGCATGGCAGCTGGCTAATATGAATTCCCCCATGGGTGCCACCACTGGCCAGTACCCTTATGTTTTTGACTCTAAGTATAACCAGGTTGTGAACAGGGCCCTGAGGAATGTGGGGCCCCAAGCGCTGAGCCCCTGCAGGGTCTAACCAGCGCCACTTAGACCAAAAGTAGCACATCAGCACATCACCTGAACCTTAACGTTCTGCCCCTCTCTCCCCACTCATTGTCGGGGATTCTAAGCATAGAGGTCCTGAAACAACTTTTCAAAGAAGGGCCAGAAGTTTTCACAAATGGTCAGGAAGAGAGATTGGGTTGTAGACTTGGGGTGCACAGGGCCTCAAGGGAAGTATCCATGAGGTTGAACTTCCTGTGTTCTCTCTCAAGTGCTCAGGGATCTAAGTTAAGGACAGAGAACCTGTGGCTCTAGGGGTGGTGATCTTCCCATTCCAACCCTCTTCCCAGCTAAGTGACTGACTTTCCAGGCTGTGATGCCATTACTTGGTTCATACTCGTTCACAGAAAGAGCATGTCTCATGCTAGTATCAGGGGAGTGGAGGCTTTTTTTTCTGCCCTAAACCTTCTATATAGCCCCCTCCTTCATCCCCCCCCCCCCACACACACTGCCTAGTTTGCTTTTTCTGACGTAGGCTTGGGGTGGTGAGGAGGACCACATTAAGACGCAAAGTAGGGGGAAGGAATAGAAAGGTACGACCATTCATGAAGCCCTCTCAGCCTAGGGCAGATCCAGACCCTTCTCCCCAGGAATTAGAAGCAGCAAAGGGGAAAACAATGGGCTGAGAATAGAGGCAGGGCTTCTAGGGGAAGTTTCCTGACTTGAAAACTTTCCTGTGGTTGTTGGTATTGAGAAATCCACTGCCACACATGTCGGTGAAAACAATTAAAAGCAAAGCTTTTCTGGTCAGTTCTAAGGCTGCTAGAGACAGGTGCCAAGCCTTTAGCCCTGCTGGTAGTAGCTAACCCAGGTCTGGACCTACACAGGACAGCCTGGCCAGGCCAGCAAGTCTTTTCCAGTACACACAATGGGAGAGGCGAGGTGCCATTTAGGTGAAGAAAGGGAGACATTTCACACTTAACGGGGCAGTAAAAAAAGGAGCACTTTGGGTCCTCAGACTCACGGTTGAGGATGGAGAGAAAATAGAAAAGTGGCATTTTCTTGATTGGAAAGGGGGAAGGATCTTATTGCACTTGGGCTGTTCAGAATGTAGAAAAGACATATTTGAAGAAATATCTATTTGAGCACTGATTCACTATGTAAAAAAGCAAAACCTCTCTGTCCTAAACTAATGGAAGTGATTCTCCCGCGCTCATGTGTAATGGTTTTAACGTTACTCACTGGAGAGATTGGACTTTCTGGAGTTATTTAACCACTATGTTCAGTATTTTAGGACTTTATGATAATTTAATATAAATTTAGCTTTTCTTAATCACCGTGCCTGGCTTGGAGTCATGACTAATAACTGCACCTGCTCTGTCCGGCAGACCCATGCTTTTGAAAACCTTCTTGAGACACATCACCTCTGTGTCCTTCGGGGATGTGAGGATGATGAAGAGCAATAAAAGGTGTAAGGTTCAGCTCATCTTGAGAAGACCGGTCAAGACCAGAGTTCATTGGCTTGTGAAATCCTTATTTCCTCTAGAACAGAGATACCAGATAGGTTTCATCTCAAGGGCCAACTCCGGTTGGTTGGTAGTGGCTGCCTGATGTCCTGTTGAGATTCAATGGGGAAAGTGTCAAGATTGTTAGTGACATCTCCTTCAGGCACTGGAAGAAAGTGTCATGGCATATATACCTACATCTTTTATCTCTGTTCTAGGTTTATAAGGACCTCATTGTCACAGAACTTGACTTTGCCTTGCCATGATAATCACTGGCAAGTACTAGGGACAAGGAGGGTTCATCACAGGCCCCAATCCGCTCCTAGCTATTTTTGATCTTAGGGTTTACAGTGATTCTGACAACAGATCTAATCAATATTATGATTCCTTTTGTTTGTTTGTTTTCCTTTTATTTTAAAAAAGCTGCCTTCTGATACTTTATATACTACATCTCAAGGCTAGGACAGTGAGTTGGGGATCCCTTCTCAGGTTCTCTGGATGTAACACCTCTCAATGATAATTGGGAATCATGGAAATCTCAGTGCCAGATGGAGAATACTATGTCAAAGATCAGTAGCTGATTTTCTAAACCACAAGCCTTTTATAGAATAATGCTTCTATGAATTCCCTCATCTCTTGCTGGGGGCCAAGTCCTGCTCCATGCCTGAGCACAGATCTTAGAATCTAGCAACAGCCTCCATGCCCACCCTATGCCCCCAACCTCCAAAAAAAGAAAGGAAAAGCAAGAAAGACTGAAGCCTCTTGTATTTAAATAACAAGAAAGCTGAGGGTAATTTATAGTGTATAATTCTTCCAATTTTGGTGGGAAATATGTGTACTAGAACAGGAACAAATGGAATAGCTCAAGGACAACCATCCCCTTAACTCCACCATTCTTTTTTTGAAAAAACTCACACCAGAAAAAAAAAAAAAAAAAGGACATTTGAAGCAATGAAATCCAGACTAATGCATAAGCCTATATACCTGTAGAAAGTACCCCCTCCCAAAGGCTCAAGGTTACTGGCCACCCCATGAACAATAACCACCAAAGTTGCAAACTCAGGAATAACTTTTCAAATGAGAAGAAAAAATGAATATATTAAGCACACACCATTTGCTCTAAAGACTGGGAAATGTTTCTGGGAGAACAGTTTGGTGAATGTATTTTGACACCTTGTGACCACAGGAGCCAGTATAATCAGGTATTCAACACTGCCTGAACCATAAAGGTCTTGCTAACCTGCAACTGTCCTGTCACGTTAGCAGGAAATGGGAGAGGAAAAGGAGGCTGGGCCTGATGGCCCAGGTGTTGATAAGAATCTGGAGTGGGGCGATGGGACTTAAGCAAAGGGTCAAGGATTTAGCACCCTGTTTTCAGGTTATGAGCTGGCTTATACTTCCCTGATTAGTAAAATGAAAAGGATAAGGCAAATGATTGCTAAGGTAATTTCTAGCCTGAAACTTGTTTTTATGTTCCAGGAAATCCTGGGGATAAAACAAGAGTCGAGAATTCCTTGTCTGGTTCTCTGGATATAAAACCTGAAACCAATGAGTAGGGAGATGGTTGGTCAAATTCTAACAAACTGGACATATTTTTACAGGCTAATTACGTTCAAAATGTAGTCCCTGTCCTTTCTAAATTGCATGAACAAATAAGGGAACCTAAGGTAAAAACGTCTCTGTGGCCCATAGAGAGGTCTCCAAGGCATGAATTGAAGCTTTCACCAAACTTAGACCTACAGAAAACAAAGTGCTGCAGAGGAACTTAGAAAAAGCATCTATGAGAGTTGAGGGTACACAAGATTCTAAGTGTAATGCACTGAACTTCAAGAACATAAACTTCAGTTATTTCTACTTATGGACATAATGAAAAATGTCGTTGAACCCTTTTTATAGCTAAGAAATTGTATGTCTTTTCTTCATATGTGAAGGTGACTCAACTGATCCATTTAATAGGATGTGTATCTGGGGATGTTTCAGGCAGCCTTTGTTTTGTAACATTCCCTCACTCGCCCATTTATTTTCTCTCTAGATCATTCTCCCATTAAGCAGCTGGCAGAGGCTAAGCAGAGCTCCACATAGGGAACAGAGTTTTATTTCCAGTCAAGGTTCCAACTCACAATTTTGGACTCCTTGACATGATGTTAAAACAGATCCAGACAGCCTAATTAGGGGTCTGAGTTTAAACCCAAGGTTAGAGTTAGCCCCAAGCTACGCAATCTGCCTATTTCGTTTTACAAGACACAAAGAGACAAGAACTCTCACTTATCTGGTCCTTCTCAGTGGTTTTCCCTCCTGCCCCTAAAAGCCTGTTGACAGCCTGCTAATGAGGCCCCTATCTCTCCCTCTGCCTCCTTCCTCTTTGGTGGAGCTGATGCTTCTGTGGTCAGAGTTCTTGAACAGCCTGCATTTGGGGGGCTGTGGGAGAATGGATTATGAGAAAAGGGTTATTCATTCTTTCATTCAATCACCTATTAAATGCAACCAGTACAATATGGAAGAAGCTAGGAGGCCAGTAAAGGCAGAAAAACCCACAGCCATTTGAGGCCTGTGTTAATGTCACCACTGCTTTCTCCAGGGAATAATGCACGAGGTACCTGGACCGAGTGTTGAGAGGAAGCTAATCACTGAAGCTGCTCCTCTTAGACTGAAATATGGATCCATGTCCCATTGCAGAGCTTTCTCTCCCAGAATGCCATTTGTGATTATGATGGAATGAGCACTGTCCCCACCCTAGCATGCTTTTCAGAAATGCTCAGCACAGTTATTCAGCAAACACAATGTTTGACATTTGTTTACTGCTTCCACTTGCAATAATAGTGTGTTCACCTTGATCTCTAATGCGTAGAAGGGTTTCATTGTCCCATTAATACTTTCCTTATGTAGAACTACTGAAAGGTCCTTGGAATAAAGTAAGCACATGTCACTCTGATAATACATAGATAAAAGCTATTTGGTGATAATCATGAACTGCAAAAGATGACTGGTCAAACATTTATTGAACACTTACTATGGATCAAGGTATTATGTTAGGTTTCCACAAGGCCCTACAGGATCTGCCACTCCTTGCCCTCCATTATCTATTGGACCTCATCTCCTACTATCCTCCTACTGCCAACTACTCTGCTTCAGCTATACTGGCCTCCCTGTTTCTCTAACCTGAGAGGCATGCTCCCAATTTAGAGTCTCTGCATAGCCGGTCCCCCTGGCTGGCACTTCCTGTAGATAAACTCATGGCTAACTCCTTCACCTAGTGTTTGCTTAAAGGTAAACTTCTTAATGAAACCTACTCTGATCATCCTTTATAAAATTAATGTCTAACTCTACTTCCCAATCCCTTTTACTGATTTTTTTCTTTTCACATTGCACACATTGTCTAATTACATACTATATAATTTATTTATGTGTTGATTGTCTATGCTTTTTTCAGTATAATGTGAGTGCCACAAGAGAGGGATTTGTGTGTATGTGTGTGTGTGTGTGTGTGTTGTGCACTGCTTATCCCAAATGCCTAGAACAGTCCCTGCACATATTAGGTGCTCAATAAATATTTGTTGAATGAATGAACAAATAAAAGAATGAAATCAGACATCTAATGCCCACCTTCTAGTAGGGCTACATAAACCATGTAAGACAAAAAGGGGTTTGCCATTTTGTTCTAAAGCTCTCCAGGATCCAGACTCCATACATCCTTTATAGAGCAAATTCCAGTTTACCATCACACTCTCCTTATAAATGTAATCTTCATTTTCCATAATATTTAAATAAAATAAACATGCCAATGACCAATGACTGAAGAAGACTATTTCTGTATGTACCTAACCCATTTCTCAAGGTTACTCTGACCTTTTTGCTCTGATTGGTTCTTTTCTCCTTCCCCTAGCCTATGGATCTGTCCTCATGCCCCACCTTTTCACTCTCCATTCTCCCACTTTGTGGTCTCATCCACTGCTACAATTTCATCTTTTCTACTCTCTGGAGGTGCTTCCTAAGCCTGTATCACTTGAGTCCTAATCTTTTCTCACAGTCCTCATCCTGTGTTTCCTAGATCTACTTAGAAATTATGCTTCAATGTCTCATTGGTACCTAAAAGTAAACAGGTCTAAGACTAAATTCCTTGCCTTCCTCTTGAGACTGGCTTCTCCTGACTTTCTACTTCCATTTGATCAATAACTGCCTAGGCTCAAATCCTAGCATGCTCTTTGACTCATCTCCCTAAATGGGCCCCACCCTCACCTTTGTACCAAGTTGGTTGCTAAATCCTTCACCCTTTCTTGAATCTGTTCTCAGCATTTCCACTGCTATCACCTCCTATCAGACTCCTAATGGGGCTTCCAACTGTAACCCATTTTAGACATTTTAGACAATCAAGCTAATTAGTTTTCCTAAAGTGCAATTCTGATTTTGTCACTCTCTGGCTCAGAAACCTTTCATAGCTTCCTATCACTATTTAAAGTACAAATTCCTTACCTTAGTATTCAAGACCCTCCTAGAATCTGCCTTTCTCTGTCAGTTTTGTATCCTACTACTTCCCAACATGAACCCCTTTTAAAAATCAAACTCACATGTTCAATTCCCTACATATAATTGTACTTTGTTTCTGTGCCCTTACTCTTACTTTTCCCACTGCTAGATATTCTCCCTGCTATATATATATATATATATATATATATATATATATATATATATATATTTAAATTAACATGTCAAAGGCAAAAAAATTCATTTCCCTATCTACTCTCCTTGTTAAATAATTTCTTGAAATTCCAGCAATGTTCTAACCATTTTCAGGCATGCACACAAATACATATGCATTTATAACCATATACAATAAAATCATTCCATATATGCTTTTCTGCAACTTGCCTTTTTTAAAAAATTTATTTATTTATTTATGATAGTCACAGAGAGAGGCAGAGACCCAGGCAGAGGGAGAAGCAGGCTCCATGAACCGGGAGCCTGACGTGGGATTCGATCCCAGGTCTCCAGGATCGCGCCCTGGGCCAAAGGCAAGCGCTAAACCGCTGCGCCACCCAGGGATCCCCACAACTTGCCTTTTTTCAATTAAATAAAATTCCAGCACGTACAGATTAACCAGATTCTTTTTAACAGTTACATAGTGTTCTATTGAGTGGATATACTGTAATTTATGTAACAAGTTCCCTATGAATGGACATTGTAATTTCTAGGGTTTGGGTTTTTTTGTTTGTTTGTGGGGTGTTTTTTCTCCCATATCTTAAGAATTGCTGAGTGAATATCTTTCGACATTTTTCTTTGCATACGTGCATAGATCTGTAGGACAGATTCCTAACAGTGGCATTATTGGGCTAGAGATTATCACATTTTACTTTTTTTTTTTTTTAAGATTTTATTTTTATGTAATCTCTACACCCAACCTGGGGCTGGAACATACAACCCTGAGATCAAGAGTTGCAAGTTCCATCTTCTGAGTCTGCCAGGCGCCAGCACCACCCCCCTTTCTTTAAAGATTTTATTTTTAGAGCTAAACAAGACTTTCAGGGATCCCTGGGTGGCGCAGCGGTTTGGCGCCTGCCTTTGGCCCAGGGCGCGATCCTGGAGACCCGGGATCGAATCCCACGTCGGGCTCCCGGTGCATGGAGCCTGCTTCTCCCTCTGCCTGTGTCTCTGCCTCTCTCTCTCTATCTGTGTGACTGTCATAAATAAAAATTAAAAATTAAAAAATTATAAACAAGACTTTCAGAAATCACATTAACCAAGCCTATCATTTCTATGAGAAACAGGAATATTAGGCTTTTGCAGAACACTTTCTGTTCAAAGGCCTTTCCTAGACAGCCAATTGGTTATATTAAATCCTCACCCTAGGCTTGTAAGAGAAACATTGTTATCCTATTTTGAGGAAACTGAGCTACAAATAATTTACTGGGAAAGTGGTTTGCTTAGAGCGGGTCCAAGACCAGAATCCAGCATCCTGGCTCCATTCACTGCTCCTTCCACGATATCCCAGCTGCCTCTCGTTCCCCTCGCGTACTTAGCTACACAATCGGTATTTGGTGAATGAAATGACTTTTTAAAAAATTGCCAGGTGTTGATAGTAGCTCGAATGGCCAAAATTAAAAAAAACAAGCATGCTGATGGCCGGGGATGCACAGCTCTCCACACAGCTTTCGCCCTTCTCTCGGGGGTGCGGGGGGGTGCGGGGTCGTCGGCAGTTTTCGCTGCAGCGACCCCACATCCCCACCTCACCAGGCAGCGCCGGTTCCGAAGGAAACACGGCTGCGCGCGGCCCCTTTAAAGCTGCGGGCGGCGCGTGCTCACAGGCCTTTCAAACGGACCAATAAGCGGGCGATGGGCGGTCCGTCGGGAACCAATAAACAACGAGGACACTGCGGGGTGTGCGGCGGCCCAAGCGGTTTCAAACGGCTTAGAGCAGGCCCCTCGGTTCTGACCCGGCGGAGGTGAGTGGCCGGTGGGCCCGACCCACCCACCCAGGCCCTCGGGTCGGGGCGTCGCGCGCGCCGAGGGGTGTTGAGCCCCGGGCGGGGGAGCCTCCGCGGACGCGCCCCTCCCTTGCCGCACGAACCCGGCGGATCTGAGGCGGCGAAGCGGGGCGGAGGCCGGCGGACCCGCGGCTGGGAGGGCGGGGGGCGTGGGCGCTCGCGTGCAGCCGAGGCCGGCATCCGGGGGACCCGAGCACGCCGCGGCGGGGTGGCGGCTGCGGCGGCGGCGGCGGCGGCGGGGGAATGCGGGCGGTGCAGGGCCGCGCCTGGCGGCTGTGGGTGTTCCGGGGCTGGGGCGGGCGGGGGCCCTGCGAGCCGGCCCTGCTGCGGTGCCCCTCGCGTAATTGTCAAATGAATGAATGAGTGAATAAGAACCCAGGGGGGCTGTCGCGGCGGCGAAGGGCCGGGTCGTCTCGGAGCGTGACAAGGACTGCGGTGCCGGGGCCTGCCCGCGCACCTGTGTCCCCGCCGGCCGGCTGCGGTTTTAACAATTCCGATCATACCGCGCCGCCCTCGCGCCTGGCTTCCTCTCTCAAAAGGTGTCAGCAGAGTTCAGGTGTCTTTCCAGCTCTGGAGGTTTGGAGGACCTATACAATAGCCACCAGTGTAGGTTAGCTTAACTAAGCAGGCCCTGCTACTTTATGATTCGGTAAACTCGGTTTTTACTTTTTCAGCCCTTACCACTATTAGGCGGTTGAGATAGCTACCCTGCAGTCCTGATAACTGTCGGGATTTGAACGCATCCCCTTTCTGTTTCTGGGATAGAAAAATGCTGAAAGCGATGTTGCCCGAGTGGCTTACTGTGTGTCAGAAAATATACTCGTGTTGATGAATCCTAACAATGAGTGTTTCATTCAGCATCAATAGAGGGTAAAGTGGGTTTTGGTTTTTTTTTTTTTTTTTTTTTTTTTGCAGAACTTGCCCCAAATTTATGCTTGGCTCTAATTCTCACGGGGAACTAAGGCATCAGATCTTGGCCCAGAAATGCTGCCTGTCTTATTTTATGCATAATTATAGTAATTGAAAACTCATTTTTAGAGAGGTGAACTTCTGTCTCCATTTTCATCACCCTGAAAAGTCCTTCTTTGACCTAAAGAGCCGATATATTAAGCTAACAATCTTTGGAAACTTATTAAGAAGTCTAAAAGATTTGGGCTTTTCATAAGTGAATGAACAGACTCCCATGTTGTTTTCATAAAATTTAATGACACAGAGGAGGTGAGATCAATTTATTTTGCCATAAATAAGGCATAAATTAAACTTAGTCAACTCGTGAGAAAAAAATTTTACACAAGTTTTCCAAGTCTGTTCACTGGAGAGCCGTCAGAGGTAAGCAGGGTATTCCATAACAATTCATATACCTTGTTCTTTATTACTTTTAACGTTTTGATCATCAGCTTTGAATTATGAACAGTAGTGTGGCCTACAACTGACAGCTCAATTTTAGCAGCAGAGCTTTTTAATTGCAATAAATTTGAGTACCTTAATATTATGAACAGTGTTCTAGATTTTGAAGAGGCAATTAGAAATAATAAATACATCTCTAACAAGGCCTTAGGATATTGTTTAAAATCTTGATGTGTAATGAAAACTTTTCTTTATTTTGAAGTAAAGCCAGGCTCTCTTATGCTCCTTTGACTTAATGGAGTCTCATTCATCTCATTCATTGATTCGTTCAACACATACTGAGATTGATGCCTACTGTGTGTTAAACACTGTTCTGGATTCTGGGAATACACCAGTGAACCAGAAAAAGACAAAGCTTCTGACCTAAGGGAGTTTGACAGTTTTATCTCTCAAACAATTTGCTGTAGCAAATTGTATTGTCTATAATCCCTCTGGCCCAGCTCTGGTCCTTGAACAAAATACTCAAATACTTTTATTAGTAGTAGCTAACATTTACTGAATTGTTACTGGGTGCCACATTTTATCTCTTTTAATCCTCACAGCTTTTTACAGATGAGGAAACTCAGAAAGGTTATGCAACTTGTTCAAGATCATGCAACTGATAGAATCTGAATTTGAACCCAAGTTAGTCTTTCTCCAGGGCCTTTGCTTTTGACCTATGGTTGTACTACATGAAGTAATGAGATACATTAGGGAGAATTCAGGAGCAATTTCTGGGTAGAATACCCTCCCCTCTCCTTTTTAAAATATTTTATTTATTTATTTGTTTGTTTGTTTGTTTGTTTGTTTATTTATTTATTCTTTATAAAAGATTTTGTGTATTTATACACAGAGGGCACAGGTAGGCAGAATGGCAGGCAGAGGGAAAGGGAGAGGCAGGCTCCCTGCTGAGAAGAGAG